GCTGCCCACCCTCACAGGGAACAATTCCTTCCTTAAAGTTAATGTAAACCAACCCAAACCCTGCTGACAAAGCCATTTGCCTCAACAGGTTTGATTAAGTTACTTTCTTTTTCTAGCATATACTGCAAGCTCAATTTCCAAATATTTTAGAGAGCTGCTGTTTTCCAAGAATTTGTGGGTGAGGCATTATGTTTTGGATAATATGGCTGAGTGAACATCTGGGAGAAGGACTTTGCTGCTGGGAGGTCACATCCTCATCCCAGATCCCTTCTGCAAATACAACAATTCCCAAACAGTTACCTCCACTGTGCCCTACCCAAAAGTGTATTTCTGCTCTAAAATCAGTATTTGTAACAGAATTAAATCACTTACTTATTTATTCTTCATTCTAACTTTCATGACACTCAAATTAATTAATTTTCAGTTTCCAAATGAATTTTGGAGACTGAAAAAAACATTTGTCATTCCTTTTTATCCACCACTCAGCTTATGGTACGTCCACTGTTTACTGTGTCACAAACAGGAAAAATTGGAGAAAAAAATAAAGAACACTAAAATAAGAAGCACTGAACTGATTTCTGCCAGGCTGCTCACCTAAAGATGTGGCAAAGCACTTCATGAGAGAGTTGGTTCATGTAATCTTTTGGCTCCTCAGCTTTGGTAGACTCTGCCCCTTCCCTGCTCGCTGCTTTCACAGTTTTCCGCCGGGGCCCCATCTCTGCTGCGAGCTCTGCTGGGAGGAAACGGGCACAGAGTCACGAAATTCAGGCAACTGAAACACAGAAGGGACAGAGCAGAGCGGGGAACAGCAGTGAAGCTGCAAAAAACAAGTTGTGGTTTGATTAGACAGAAGGGCTCAGACAAAACCTGAGGATTATCAGACAAACCCTCTCTACTGAGGGAGTTAAAACCTGGCTAAACCTGCTTAAACCCAGGTTTAACCAGAGATCAGTTCTTTTTATGAATAAAAAACCTTCAGAGATCCCACCCTGAGATCAAGGCAGTCACAGGGAAGCTGTGCAGAGATCACCAGCTCAGCACCAACTACAACGTTCCAGTGCAAAATAAAAGTCCAAAGTCTGTCTGGCAGAAAAATTATTTATTTTTCTTTCTGGTAAAAATGAGCTGCTGATGATGACTCTCTAAAAATGCCCCATGAAAAGCCCTCAAACTAGCTCCTCTTCAAGGTGAGAACACCAAGAAAAATATTCAGGTTGCTGAGTTACAGCTCAAAGGCACAGAAAAACTGGGAGTCACTGGAAGCAGCGTGCAGGATCCTCTGCTCCCTCCCGAGCTCTGCCCTCCACCCTGCAATGCTTCATGGAAAAACACACACAATTACCATGAGAAGCAACAAACAAGAAACTAAAAGAAAGATTAACTCGATGCCAACACAAAATCACCTTCCACAGATGCTGAGAGAGCATTTCATGACTGTACCTGGCAAAGATTTGTTTTATTCTAACACAAGGACAAGAATGAGGAGGGCAAAGCATCAGCAGCTCAGTGAACCTGGGTTTAACAGGTCAGATGCCAAAATTCAGAGGGATGGAGGAAAAACAACTGGTAAAAAAAAGGTAGATTTTGGAAAAGCTTTCAGCAAGGCCTCCACTGCAGCCTCCCTGTGATGCCAAAATTTGAAATACTGACAGCTTCACTGTGATGTAATTACAGCAAAACCCATGGTTCCACGTATTTTGGGTGCATCTTAAGTTGCTAACTGCATGTTGCCACTGTTTTATTTTAAATGGGGATATTCAAACTATAAATCCCCACTGGATTTATTGTTTGAATGGCTCTCTGTTCCTCTTCATTGGGGGAATTCTCCAGCCAGAAGTGAAGACCCTGAGCTTGTTGCTCTTTTCAGGGCAGGCTGGAAGGTCTCAGTTTGGAGTGATCGACCTTGAAAAGCCCAAAATTAACTATTTATAGACTGAATTCCTGGGAAAACATCAATCCCCAGTCACCTGGGATAACTCAGTTTGAACAGAGGGTTGCAACACAACCTAAAACCTTCCAGGCTGGCACAGCCATGTGCTGGGAACAATCCAGCAGGAAAGGGAACAGCAGAAGGTAAGAGAAATGAAAATATTAACAACCAAAGCAGCGAAAATCCTGCAAGACACAAATGACATCAGCACAACCCGCTCCTGCCACGAAGGGGGAAAAGGATTTGTCTCCATGAGTCTGCAGTTTCTGCACAATAAATTCTCCTCCTGGGGTTATCCTGAGCTAATGAGCACAGCTCTAACACCTCATTCTACAGCAGCGAGATGACCCCATTTATAAATAAAAGACAATAAAAGAGCTCTTTTATTTAAAAATAAAAGACAATAAAAGAAGCTCTTTCTTACACAGCAGAAAGAGCTTTATGTATTCAATAGAACAAACGGGATTTTGCGGCCCCCACCTCAATTTAATCCCGACAGCGAACGTCGCACGAAACAGCAGCTGGACGTGCCCTATTCTCGATGAGTAAACACCCCACGGACCTTAAAAAGCTTAAAGAACCACGGGGAGACTCAGCAGCAAACAAAAATGAGGAAAAACGCGGCGAGAGCAGCCGGGGCCGGCCTGGCAAGCGCCGGCACCGAGGGGCGCTCCCGGAGCGGGGGAAAACGGCAGGACGCGGTGATTTGTGCGCGGATAAGAGAAGGAAAAGCAGGTTTAACTAGGTTTAACCAGGTTTAACTAGGTTTAAGCAGGTTTCCCCGTCACCGCCGTTCACTCCCGGAGAGGAGGCCTGTGACAGCGGGGGAGGCCCGTGACAGCGGGGCCGGGAGGCGGCGGCGGCCTCGGGCTCCCTCCCCGCGGGCCGAGCCGGCCGCGTCCCCGCGCCCGGCTCCCCTCGCTGCCCTGGCTCCCCTCGCTGCCCTCACCTGCCCCGGCTCCCCTCACCTGCCCCGGCTCCCCTCACCTGCCCGGGTCCCCGAGCCCCGGTTGCGGCCGCGGGGCAGCGCCGGCCCCGCTTCCTGCGCGTCCCCTTCCGCCGGCGCGGCCCCTTCCCGTTCCGGGCCCGCCCCGCCGCAACCGCGGCGGCACCGCGGAGACAACACGGAACGGGAAAGCAGCGAGCACCGAGCACCGAGCTGGTTTCTGCATGCCCGCCTGAAGATGTGGCAAAGCACCTCGTGAGAGAGGTGGGTCGTGGAATCTTTTGGGGCGCTGAGGGCTCCGTGAGCGGCTGGGCTCGCTCAGTGCGCAGCCAGGGGGGCGATTCAGCACTGTGGAAAATGCACACGTTATTATTGGCTTTTCGCAGATATTACAGTGAATAGCGTATGAGTGATGTTAGAAAGTTGTGCTGTATTAATTCTGTTAAGTAGTGTGTTAAACTGGGAAAAATGCATATTTTATTATTGGCTTTTCGCAAATATTATCGTGAATATTATATGTGTGATGATAGAAAATTGTGCTGTATTAGTTCTCTTAAATAGTGAGTTAAATTGGGAAAAATGTACATTTCATGATTGGCTTTTCGCAAATATGTATAGTTCGGTGAATATAAAAATTTCGGTGACTATTATATTGTAATGTTAGAAAGTTATGCTGTATTAATTCTCTTAAGTAGTGTGTTAAATTGTGAAAAATGCACACTACGATTGGCTTTTTGTAAATATTACAGTGAATATTGTATGTATAATCTTAGAACTTTGTGCTGTATTAATTCTCTTAAGTAGTGTATTAAATTGTGAAAAATGCATACTTCGTGATTATGTTTTCACAAATATTACAGTGAATATTATGTGTGTAATGTTAGAAAGTTTTGTGGTATTAATTCTCTTAAATTGTGAAAAATGCATGCTTTATGATTGGCTTTTTGCAAACATTACATTGAATATTATGTGTATAATGTTAGAAAGTTGTGCTAAACTAATTCTCTTAACTAGTGTGTTAAATTGGGAAAAATGCATATTTTATTATTGGCTTTTCGCAAATATTACGGTGAATGTTATATGTGTGATTTTAGAAAGTTGTGCTGTATTAATTCTCTTAAGTAGCATGTTAAATATAGTTTTGGTCAAAACACAATGTTAAAATAGAAACTCTGCGATGTCAGATACTTTTTAATTAGCTCAAGAAAGAGATGAGAGAATCAAGAAACTCTTCACACAGAGTTAACAGCGACAGGAAACATGAAGAGTTACAGCTTCCTTATCAAAAAAGACAAACATTCTTCCACCTTCTCTCCATCTTTATGGAACCACCAGGATTCAGGGGAAGAAGTTGACAAAAACCAGAAAAAATCCTCATTTGCAAGGAATTTATGCATCATGTATGAGATACATGAATATGCAACAGGCTGTTGCTTTTAAGGTTATGCCTTTGTTCACAAGGAGTGTTTTTGGCAGCTCAGTGCCCAAAAACATCTGGATGACCGTAATTCTTTGCTTTTTATTGTCTTGTAATTGTCCTAACTCTAAATTTTTATTACCCTAATTGTATTACTATTTTTATAACCATTTTATTATGATTAATAAACTTTTAAAAAGTCTAAAAATGTTAATACAGCACTTCTAATCAATATAACATAATACATATAATATTCAATTTAATTTTTTCCAAAAGGCAATAATAAAATATGCATTTTTCACAGTTCATAAGTGATTTTTCCTGGCGAGTCTTTACCCTGGCCCCACACGTGTATTTGCAGTATTGTGCAGGTCTGCACTTGAGCCTTGTTTTAATTGCTGTGTTTGGGTGGATCCCAGCAGAAATCACAATTCCCTCAGCATTTTAAAGTCATGTTTCATGCAAACCCCAAGGGGTTGGGTGACAAGGCTCCTTCATCACCCAGCAGACTGCTGAATTATTTTTTGTGAGTGACAGCGAGCAAAGACTCGGCTGTTAGTTCAGTGGTAATCCCAGAGGAATCCCCAACGCTCTGTGGTGGAGTAGGAATACCAAAATAAACTCTTGGCACAACCCCTGTGGATTTTGGATGTGTCGACAGAATCACTGAGGTTGGAAAAGGCCTCAGAGGTCACCGAGTCCAACCTGTGACAGCAACACAGCATCAAAAACAACAGAAAACCAAAAAAAACAGCCCCAAAAATGAGACAAGCGAGGCTTCCTGCGGGAAGGCCCAGCAGAGCTTGTCCTGCCCTCCCTCACCCCCAGGCAGGGGACACAGGGGTGGCAGCAAGAGGAGGTTGCCTGAAGGACATGGGAGACACTAAATGGAATTAAGGAATTTGGGCAGGGCCTTGGGGTTGAACTCTCATTGAAACAGTCACAGAATGTGAATGGTGAAGTGGTTACAAGACAGACAGCAGAAACCAAAACCACCCCATTTTTTCCGTAACAGAAACCTTGTGATTTATCCCATAGATCAGCTGGATGAGAATCTTTGAAGGTTTTTTGGGTTGCCCCATTTTTTTCTCCCTCCACTGCCATATGTGGGGAAATTTAGAATTTGAGGCACCCAAGGATATCTGAACTAAAACCCAAAGGAAAACAATCAGAAATGGGAGATGCTGAAGAGTCATCAATAAAAATTCTGTTCTGGTCTTGATCAGCTGCAAAATGAAACATTGCATTTCTTGTTTCTCAGTTACAGCTGGTGGAAGCTATTTGGACACACACAGTTTATATTTTAGCGAGGTTTCAGAATCCTGGTTCTCTGACACGGGTATTACTGAATCAAAAATAAAAGGACTGAGGGAATTAATGCCTTCCTTTAAAAACGCAAAGTTTTGCACCCCACAAACTCTCATTGCTTAGCAGCATCCCTAGGAGGTGTTTTTAAGCTTTCTGAGGGAATGCATGTTCTCCATCCCAAGTGATCATGAATTGTGGAATGGTTTGGGTTGGAAAGGACCTCAGAGATCTCACTGCACCCCTGCCACGGGCAGGGACATTCCCACTGTCCCACAGCTCCATCCAGCCTGGCCCTGGACACTCCTGATCACCAAACAAGACATTAATTACACAGCAAGCAGGAAGCAAAACCTCAACATTCCAGAATTAAAGCTTCTAAGAGAACATCTCTGAGTAACCAAAGCCCTCAGGTGCATGAGCACAGGTGAGGACAGTGCTGTGGTTTATCCCCAGCCAGCTTTATTCTAGCGCTGGCTTTGCTTTTGCAGGGATCCCACTGCCTGATTTCCAGATTTCATCACCTCTTGTCTTAGAATGAAGAAAATGTTTTGTAGGACCTCAGGAAAACCCTTCCTTGACCCTCACATGCAAATACATCAGCACTAAAGACACACCAGGTATTTAAGTACCTTTCCAGTGCAGAGTTTTGCACTCTAATCTTCCCTGAGTGCAGGTTCTGTTCTGTGTCCTATTCCATACCTGTCACTGCCAGGTGTCCTCAAAGGGGTAATGATTAGCATTGACCCCATGATTGCAGAAGGCTGATCAATCGCTTCATTATCCTGCACTCATTAAGAAACCCAGTGCCCTGCAGACAGTCCGATGCAGTTTTACCTCACTGGCCCTTGAATCCAAACACCATCCATTGGCCAATCACAAAACCACCCTTTGGTAAACAAATGTCCATAACACATTCCACATGTGCACAACAACAGGCACAGCAATTGGAGATTAGACTTGTTTATCACTCTTTTCCCTGAGCTTCTCCCAGCCTTCCCCAGGACAATGCCTGGCATAGTTGTGTGTTGCTCTCTGTGGCCACAGCTGCTGCCACACGCTGATATTTTAATTTCTGCCTTACAGAATCCGAGCATCAGCTTGCTCAGGCTCTGCTCATTTTCCCTTCCCCATATTTCCATGGCATTGCTCCATGCCACAGACCTGACTGGCCAGCCTGGCCAGCCACTCCAGCATTTTCTGCAGGTGTCACTTGCAGCAATTTGCAGATGATGCTCTGTGCTCTGGTATGTGGCAGGAGCTGCCGTGCTCTGCCTGCTTTGAGCTGAGCAAAAGCAGCCACGTGGGCAAGTCCTGCTCTCCGCTGCTCCTGGCTCAGGGATTCCATTTCAGAAATAGTCAGGGACAAACTGGAGTCCTAGGGAAATGCATGGGGTAGGTTACATCTCTGACTTGCAGACTTGCAACTCCTGGGGCTGTATGAGAATTTTGGTGTCTTGGGTTTGGTGCACAAACCCAGCCCATTAAATATCCCAGCAAACCAAAGCAGAGGGTGGGAATATCCATGAGGCTGGAAGGCAGCAAATATCCACAAATCAGATTTTTCTGATATCATGAGGAGACCTCAGAGATTCCCTTTGTTTTCTCAATCTGATCTTTGTTTTCTCATTTTTATCTTTTTCAGTCAAGGTGATCTGTTCTAGGAACTTCTTCATTGAAGCCTCTGAACTACAAGGAACTTTTGTATTACCTTCCTCACTTTCATTCCTGCTGCCTAATTGCTGGGACCTGGTTTCCAGATAAACGGAATTCAGGATAGGGCTGGATTTGTTCTGTGTCCAGCTGTTCCAAAATTTTCCTCCTGGCAGCCCAATAAGGGCAGTCATTCACCATTTTAATTCTGGGAAAACACATTCCCATAACCAAGAATTGAGTAAGAGACACAAATTAGTTTAACAGTGAAGATAATCAGGATGTAAGAGCAGGACATAAGTTTCTTAATTTCTTTAGGTTCTGAAATTTATCAAGTGAAAAGATTAATGAAAGTTCCTATTTAAATGACAGGATTTAACAGACTTCTGCAGTCTTACATTTTACCACATTTGTCTCATTTAAAGCAAAAAAAAAAAAAAAAAAAAAAAAAAAAAAAAAAAAAAGCCAGACTGGGAGGTAAATTCCAGTATACAACTTTTGTATCGCAGCTTTGGATTTTTACCTCTTCACTCGCTCTGCTCCACCAGTTTTCTGTAATTTGGGAAATACTTGTTAGTCATGGATGAATAAATTCTCTAGAAAGTTCACCATGGACAAAAAAAAAAGAGTGAAGGTTTATTTTAATAAACAAGCACGCCAAGTAGCTGAACAACATACAGAAACCAGAATTGTACAGAGAGGATAAAAAATAAGCACTTAAAATTCAGCTACAAAACTGGGAGAGTCAAAGCAGTTACCTGGGAAAGCTGCAAACATTTGGGGAAAAATACCTGCTGAAGTTTCGGGGTAAAGGAAAGAAAACATTTGATCAGCGAGGGGGAGAGACCTGGGGCGTTGTCAGAGGATTTGAACAGCTGAGGAAGGGCTGTGTGAGCCAGCAGGAAGGTTTTGCTGCGAGGATGGCAGTGTCAGTCCCAGCTCTGGAGCAGGGAGAGCAGAGCTGGCACTTCTCCCGGGCTGGGCAGGGATGGGCAGCTCGGAGTTGTCCTCAGCACGCTCCTGCCTGCTTCATGTGCAGGGCTCCTCTGCTCCTCCTGCAAGGAGAAAACATGGGCAGTCACCAAAATCCTCGGGAACCCTCTGCTGACAGAGCTGTAAACAGCTTTCCGTGCAATATTACACATTTTATCCATGAACCCAAGACATTGCCAGTACCACTTCTGAATTTTTGTGTGACCTGCGTTGGCTGCTGGTGCTTTGTCAGGTCTCTGTTGCTCACTGGACTCTTTACTGCCCAACTTTGCAGTTTCTGCTGGAATAGGAAGCTCCTCACACAAATATCAGGGTCATTTTTTTTAGTGACTAAATCTCACAGTACCTGCAGCAAGTTCCTCACACAAATAGGAGTAATTTTTTAGTGTTCAACTTTACAGTGCTTGCTGCAAGTTGCAAATACACAAGTATTCAGATCAATTTTTGGTTCACTATTTTACATTTCCTGCCAGAATAGGACATTGCTCACATGAATATCCAAGTAGTTTTTTAGTGTCCAACTTCACCATTCCTGCTGGAATAGGAAGTTGTTCACACAAATATCCAAGTAACTTTTTAGTGTCCAACTTTACAATTCCTGCTGGAATAGGAAGTTCAGACCCAAATATCTGGGTCATTTTTAGTTGCCTATTTCACGCTTCCTGCCAGAATAGGAAGCTCTCACCCAACAATCACCATCATTTGTTGTTTAGACCAGTTGCACACGATCAGCTGGAGGAACAATCACTGTGTAAAGGTAAAGCACAGGAGCAGAGAGGTACCAACCCTAGAGGAAGCCAGCAGTTTTTGGGGTGGCAGTCCCAGCTGCCCAGCTCAGTACTCACAGCACAGCCTTGCAGAAGGAGCATTTGTTGTTGTAGGTTTTGCCATCGGAGCCGCAGAAGGGTTGGTAGAGCCTCTCACAGTAAATGGGCCTCCCCTGCTCCAGCCTCCTGTACTCGCTGCAGTCCACCTGCAAGGAGGGCAGCCCTGAGTCCCACACCCTCTGGTGGGTAAAAACCTTCTCAAAGAAAGGCACTGCACTCTCATGGCTTAGGCCTGCTGGTTCCCTGGGGCAGCTAATCTGCCTGTCCCCATGAGAAAAACCCTAAGAGTGATAAGTCAGGTAACACAACAGTTTGTTCTTGTGAGAAAAAATAAGTTTGCACCTGCAAAAACAAGAAGTTGGTCTGATGAGAATCAGTGAAGAGGATGTGTAAACAATCCAGGAATAAAGAGATTTGATGGGTGCACAAAATTCCATTTACTGACCAATGAGTTGATAGTGTATTGTTATCCAGCTGGGTTTAACACAGCCTTTAGGATTCCTATAAATACGAGCTAAGGGAATAAAAATTGGCTTTTTCTGCATGAAGAAACTGTGTCCTGTATGCTTTATTGAGACACATTCACCATGCACAGAAATCATGAATATATGGATTTTTGGGGCAGTCAGGGAGGCTGCACCACCTCTGTTGGCAGAGACCAAGCCCCAAAAATGAAACATTTCTGCTCAGAGGTGTGAGTGCTGCTGCCTGTGACAGGGACTGGGCAGGAACAACACAGCCCCAGAGGAGCAGAGTGTTGAAATTTTTTATAATCTGATCACAACAATCAGTAAATTGAGGTGGGATCAATTCACATCCAGCCCTTCCTTGGCCACTTCAGGGATGGATTCCACCTCCTCCCTGGGCAGCCCTTCCATGCCTGACCACCCTTTCCATGAAGAAATTCCTGCTGATTTGTACCAATATGGGCCCAGCTCTGTGTGGATGAATTTTCTCTCCCCACCACTATCCACTCTGCCAGGACCTTCCTGCTCACCCCAGGAAGGATTTTTAGTCCTTGGTGCCTCATTTCTTCCAGACATTGACCCCAGAGTACTCAGAGAGAATGAAAATCTCCAGGTACCTGATTTAGGAGCTAAAAGTCATCAAAAAAGCTTCATAGGGTCATCATCAATTTTGTTGTTTTTTTTTTTTTAATCTAGATTTCTCTGGCTTAAAATTTGTCCTTGCCCAATTTCTTGCCCAGAATGCCAAACAGGTGAAAACATCTGGAAGTAGTCAGGGTAACTCTATGGAAACCCCATATCCCCAACTCAGGAACTTTCACTGAAACCTCAATAAATTGGCAGCATTTAATTACAGTTTAACATGTTTCTTTTCTGACCTCATGTTATTATATTACAATTTTTTACCTCTTATTCTATATTTTTTATCCAGGAAAAAGGAAATAGCTCACCTCATTCTGTCTGGCAGCATCTGCAGTGGAAACTGAACCGTGAAAGAGAAAATGGAAACCCAGAGTTAATGAACACTCAGGTGCAAGCCAGGATGATTTCACTCAGCAGCTCTGAATCTTTTACCTCCTTAAATGTCAATACTGACAGGGCTGTGCAGGGTTTAGCAGGGCCCAGGTGTCAGAAGCTATTGAACAAGGGGGGTTTGGTGCATTTTTTACCTCAGAAACTTCTGTCACCTGTTGGAGCAGGCTTTGCTGGAGAGGGGAATGGAGCCACTGTCCCACTGCTCAGCACAAAACCACTGACAACCCAGCAGTCAGGATTGTATTTACTGCTCATCATTATTTCATAATGATAGATAATAATTTAACGTTATTTTATATTCAATGTCCAGGATTAACTGGTGGTTGAGCATGACTGGAGTTTAATTCCTGAGCTTATCAAGAGCTGTGTGTGGCTGTGAGCAAACCACATGTCCCTTTTATATCTGTATTTTCTGTCAATAATGAGAATAAAATACAATATTGGCTGTAAATAACAACAATAATACAATTTGGCTCGTAATCCCACGTTAGGAAGTGTTTCCCTTGTTTCTATATGGGTTTTAAGGTGACTGGCTCCTATTTTTACCTCATTCCTCTGGAACAGAGCCCTGTCCTCAGGTGGGGCTTCAAGGAGCTCCTTCCAAACAATGCTAATTACACCTCCCACAAAGTAATCAGCTGCTTGGCGTGGCTCCATGCTGCTTACACATTTCTTACTTTCTTTAGGAATGTATTTGTCCCTTTGCTGTCCCACAGTCATCATCCTGGGGCTTCCAGGGGGTAAAAGTACCAGGGAGAGATTTCTGTGCAGAAGGAGCAGGAATGTGTTCTGGAGCAGAGCTCTAACACTCCTTTTTTGGATTAAATTCGGATTTTTTTTTTTTTTTTTTTCTTCAATCTTTAAAGGTTAAACTTTCCAAATGTGTTCTGGAGCAGAGCTCTAGCAATTGTCTTTCAGAATAAATTTAGCTTTTTTTGATCAAAAAAGGTTAAATTTCCACAAAAGCTTCCTTTCATAAACCTGTTTACATCCTCACATCAAATACAGTTGTTCAGTACAAAGAAAATGAGCAGAACTAAAGCTTCTGGTCAGGTTTCCATCTCTGTCACCAGAGGCTGACTGAGATTTCATTGTTTTGGAATTGGATTCTATTTATTCCACCTCCCCCCAAACGTTCAGATGTGATTTTTTCTCTGGTAACCTTTTAGGAGCCACTCTGCAAACGGGATGAATGCAAAAAAGGTGTGGCTCAGAAAGTGCTGATTCATGAGGTTTTTAAGCAGACAAGATAAACCAGAAAGTTCAAGGAAGAGATTTCCTGGAATTCTAATGGAAGGAATGTTTATTTACTTTCCTGCAGTTAATGAAACACTGAATTATTTCCATCACATTTCATTTAAACTGCTGTTTTTCATAAGAATTTGGGGGTTGAGACAAATTTCAAAGCAACTTCTTCAGAGCTATCAAAAGATTCTTTTGCTTCATGATTTTGCATTTAACATTTTCATTATTTTGCTTCTTTAATGTTCATAATGCTTTTAAACTTCTATACTACCTGCGGAGGTGTGGAGTCTTTCAGTTATTTTTAATGCACTTATTTTTCTCTAAAAACACATTTTTACTGCAAGTTTTTAGTAAAAACAAAATTGCCAAGTAAAGGCTGAAGAAATTCCTCCAGATCCCTCTTTTTTAGAGCAACATGTCCCTCAAATCTCTCTGCAGCCTGGAAAAAAAAGATTAAAAAAACATGATTCCCAGCTGTTTTATGTGGCCTAAGCATCATCAGCTGTCTCCTGCTTGGTCAGTTTGGCAGGGGCAGGACCTCACCAGCTCCCAGCTCCCTTCTCAGATCAAAATTTAAAAATAAATTGATAAAACCAGGTGGTTCTGAGGCATCACAGCACTTTTGAGTCGCAGAACACAGCTCTGAGCTACACCCAGCAAGGAGCAGCTCCCATCCACCCCAGCCCCAGCTGCCTTATAAACGATTGTGGTGATCAAAGATCGGATTTTAACTAGAAAATTCCCTTTTTCTCCCTCTCACCCCGTGCAGGAACCACCCGAGACCCTTGCAGGAGCCCAGGGGAGTTACTCACATGCCAGGCACAGGGCTGCCAGCACCAGGAGCACCAGGGTGACCTTCATGGCTGTCCCAGAGCCACCTCAGCTCCCGGCAGTGTCCCTGCTGCCCATGGCCAGGGGAGGCATTTATAGGCAGGAGCTGGTGCTGGAATGCCCGTGCAGGTAATTAGGGAAGGTGTTGCCAGGGCAGGTCAGTGGGATGTGTCCTGGGCACGGGGCAGGGCTGCGTGTCCCGGTGCTGATGGAGCAGGCATTGTCCTGCCTGAGCCCAGCCTAATTAACCAGCCTAATTAACTGTCCCAGCCCAGCAGCCAGGCTCTGACTCAGGGCTGCTGCTCTGTTATTGCTGTGGGGACTCAGAGCTGAACGCAGTTCCCAGGGAAAAATAATCCTGCCTGGGTCTTTGCCAAAATATTAATCCCAGAAGGGTTTAATTCTTATTCTTTGGGGCGTTTTGGAGCCGTTTCTCAGCTGTGGTTGGAGCTGAGCTGCTTGTGGCCATGCACTGAGCCCTTCAGCTGCTCTGGGAAATCTGTGTTCAGCTTGAAGCCCTTCACAGCCAGCCCAGAGCATCCCCAGGGCTCCTTTTCCTTTCAAATGTGCCCAGTTTGGGGCCAGCCCTGATGTTCTGGGAGAGGAGCAGCAGAGACACCCCCGGGCACGGCCTGACCAGGGTGAGAGGAGTTCCCAGCCCTGGGCATCCCCTGAGCTCCTGCCCAGCCTTGGGCACAGGGGACATCCCTCTGCCTGCCCCTCTGCTCCCATGTCCCTGTTTCCAGCTTAAACAAACCCTGCATTTGTTGGTGACTTTTGCAGCAATTTCTGTCTTTTATCACAGGGCCCTGGGGGAGTCCCCATGGGACACTCAGATGTGAGTTTGGAGGTGATAGTTTGGTTTCAACCCTTCCTTCCAGAGTTGCTTTCTCTTAGTGATTTACCACGTAAACGTGTAAAAATCTCAACAAGAAGAATCCCTGCACACCACCTCAATTCCCAGTATTTCAGCGATCACCTTCCCATACTGCAGGGCAGCCCAGAGCTTTCTCCCTGTGCAGGATTGGGGCCAGAGGTGTTCATTCCAGTAAAACAAGGGCCTGAAAGCTCCTGCAGAAAATATTTCAATAGGTCAGGTAAGCCTTGGGCCCCTCTAACTCATCCCAAGAGGGATACAAACAATTTTGTCTTTAAAGAATATAGGTAATTAATCAATGTTTAATTTCTCATTGCTTAACAGGATGAAAAACATAAATGCCATCAAATCTGAATTCCAGGATGAGCAAAGTTCCAGTTGGAGCTGGAGGCCTGGAATTTTATTTGGTTTTGTTCTAATTTTTTTTTTCCCCTTTCTTAATTTGGCCATCTGTTCCTGTGAGGCTGAGAGGACAAAAGGCAGGGTGGGGTTGGTCTGGATCCCCCTGCTTGGGGCTGTCAGTTCTGGGGAGCTTTTCTGGAGAAAATCCTGGCAAGGAACATGCAGGAACTCGGGAGTATTCAGGACACGTCCTTGGTGATGGACAATCATGAGCAATTAGGGCAACAGGAGCAAAATCCAAACCATGCAGGAAGTTCCCCTTGATCTGGAGGATTTTGGGCACACACAGCTCCCGGGGGTGTCCTGACACTAAAACTGCAGCCTGGCAGGTCCTGATCCTGGAACGAGGAAAGGCCCCAGCCCAGTGCTCCCAGTGTCCCCTGGGATGCAGCCCCAGCATCCATCCCATCCCATCCCATCCCATCCCATCCCATCCCATCCCATCCCATCCCATCCCATCCCATCCCATCCCATCCCATCCCATCCCATCCCATCCCATCCCATCCCATCCCATCCCATCCCATCCCATCCCATCCCATCCCATCCCATCCCTCTCAGGGAATACAAACCTCTCTCTGCACCCTGGCCCGTTCATGCAGGAAGATTTTCCAGCTCTGCACTTGAATTTCAGTCCATAATTCCCAAAGTGTCCCTGGTGAGGCTGGAGCTGCTGCTCTGGGACAATTCTGGGCTCCCTGCAGGGAAAGGCACTGAAATGCTGGAGCAGAGGCAGTGAGGGAACACCGAGTGCTGAGGGCGTGAAACACAGAGGAAAACTTGGGAGAAGGGGTTGGTTCCATTTGGAGATGGAGGGAACAGAGGGAACAGGCGCCAGGGCCCTCCTGGAGCTGCAGGATGAAAGGAAGAGGGAACAGAGCAAATTGCAGGGAGAGAAATTCCAATTAGAATTGGGGCAAAACAAATTTCACAACGAGAGGAGTCAATCACGGAGACAGGTTGCCCACAGAGATCAGTGGAGATAGTGAAAATGGGTCTGGGCAAAGGGCGTGGGCATCCAGGTGACCTCCGTGGGCCATTCCAATGGAACTGGGTCTGGCATTCCCACAGGAGAATGCCAACTGCTGCTGGCATTTTCAGAGACCTTGTGGTGCCTTTGTCCTCAGAAATGAACGTTTGACAAAGCAAACATGGGCAGTGAAGCACCACAATGGGAAAAAAGTTCATTGGGAAACAACTGTTGGGATGTGTATGGGAACAGCTGCTTCCCAAAGCTGGGTTAGTAAGGCCTAATTGCTGAACTCATTCTGAAATTTAGGGTAAATATGGAAAACAAATAGTTTATATCGAAGAATTGTGAGAGCAATTTTGCCCTCATCAGCAAACCCATGAATACCTGTAAGTTAATTGTGGAACTCGTGTAATTTTATACATTTGCCATTATGTCTTGGTTTTACCCCAAATTCTTATCCCTCCAAACTGATCTTTACAAGAAGAAAAAGCAATTCCATGGTGTTACATGTGGTAAAATATTAGTGTGCATTTTTCTGAGGGTAAGAAATTTTTCCCAATTATTATTTACTCCAAATTTTAGATAGCTTTTAGTTTTGGAGGCCTGGTTGGAGCACCACTGGGATGCCAAAATTGCTGCTGCAGCAGGTAATTAGTTAAGTGCAGGATGTTCCCTGGCTGCATTCCAGAGGAGGAACCCGCTCCCACTCATCCGTGGAGAGCCTCCCATGCAGGGCATCCTCAGAGATGACGAATAGCACGTGGAAAAGGTGCAAAAACCACGTTGTCACTGGGAGGGAGGGTCTGGCTGAGGCTGCTGCAGCCACAGAGGGACCTCCCCTCCCTGGTATCCCGGGGTGTTTTTATCCCCAGGCCCAGGAGGGTGGGTGGCTCAGGGTTGTCCGCCCAGGTGCAATTAAAGCATCAGATTTTGAAGTCTTGCTCAATGCAGGGTTTGAGAACCAAGGACTGCCTTTGTTCAGGCTGTGCCACAGCCTTTGGGTGTTTGCCTGGGAAAGGAGATGATGCCTTCACTTTGAGCTTTCATGTTTTCCACACTCTGTACTGCATTGGTACAGAGCTCTGAACTCCATGTAAAGTGTCAGCAAGTTCTGCTCACAGCTCAGCACACAGAACAATCCTTTTCCAGCCCAGAACCAGCTCAGGAACACTGAACAATCCTTTTCCAGCCCAGAACCAGCTCAGGAACACTGAACAATCCTTTTCCAGCCCAGAACCAGCTCAGGCACACAGAACAATCCTTTTCCAGCCCAGAACCAGCTCAGGCACACAGAACAATCCTTTTCCAGCCCAGAACCAGCTCAGGCACACTGAACAATCCTTTTCCAGCCCAGAACCAAGGACACCGCTGCAGCTCCAGCCCCAAAAAGTGCAAACAGCAGGAATGGAGGAGAGCAGCCTGGCAGGGTGGGACTGCATCACCTGGAGCTGGAATTGGACAATGAACCCTAACATGGAAATGGACCCAAACTCATAAAAGTGTCAAAACTCGTGACCAGGAGCCCACCTGGGGTGGAGCCACGGCCGGGCTCTTGCAGTGCCCAAGGTATATCCTGTGAAGGCCTTTCCATAAATCCCTGCTTTATTCCTGTGACTCTGCCCAGCCTCTGCCCAGGCAGCCTCTGAAGGCATCAGTGAGTTCCCCACTTTGCACTCCTGTGGAGATCAGAGGAGCCTTTCTTCAGCACTGCAGGTGTCAGGCCAGGCCAGAGCCCCACTGAAGGTCTCATGTGCTGCCTCAGAAACTAAAAATAAACCCAAGACACTGTGCAAAGGCTGGAGCTGATCTTTGTTTTCCTTTGTGCCTCCTGATTTCTTTGGGACACAGTGCCAGGAGTGATCCCAGGATCCTGCAGGCAGCTTGGGGATCCTTTGATTCCTGTGTCAGACTAATGCCTCAGGTTTTGGCTTTTCTATTTTTCACATTCTGTGCTGCTTCAGTGTGCGGGTCTGAGCTCCGTATCAGGGGATGGTGAACCCTCTGAACAGAGCAGAGACAAAACAATTCCTGCTCCAGCTGGGCACCAAGGACAAATGAGCCAAATCTCAGCCCAGGAGCACAAACACCGTGGGCTGGAGAGAGAAAAACAAGAAGGATGGAACTGCATAACCTAAAGCTATAATTGGGCAATTAACTCCAATATGCAAATGGAGCAGAACTGACCAAAGTGAGACTTCATGCCCAGTCATTCATTTTTGTGACCATTTTGGTTCATCTTGGGTGTGGCCCTGGCTGAGCTCTTGTGCTGCCCAAGGTGGATCCATTGAGGCCTCTAATAAATCCCTGCTTTATTCTTTTTCTCCACCTAGCTTCTGTTCTAGCTCAGCCTTCACAAGGCATCAAGACCATTGATGGTTCCGAGTTGATTCTTCACAAAAACAAAGCATTAATGGCTTAACACTTCCACTGAATGGGCTTGAGCAGGACTGATGTGAAATCACCTTAAGATGCAATTTCCAGGTGTTTGGACTTCGCCCTCCTGTCACACCAAAGTCAATCAAACTGACATTTCAAGAAAGGTCTCGAGATTTTTTTCATGCCTCACAAGGCTGGAGCACATGCACTGGCTTTCCCTTTATTAAAAATAAAACTTTTCTAAAACAGAAGCTACAGCTTCTGAAGAAGAGGGGTGGGAGGAAGATCAGCACGGAGAAGGGGTAGATATGAAACATTTGGAGCTGAAATCTGTGTTTTCCCCCAGAACCCCTAATTAAACATCAGCTTTTCCCCCCTTTTGCTCTCAGCAAGTGCCTGCTTGCCCAGCTCAGGGGCTGAAGCTCTTGGAGAACAGCAAATTCCTACAATGACCAATTAGTGCCTCACTAAGGACACCGAGTCTTTATCTGCGAGCATTCCTTGAGCTGAGCAGCACCCAAGAAAGGCCTGGGGGGAATTAGTCAGGCTCTGCTCAGAGCAGATTTCGGGAGGTGTGGTAGCAGAGCCCAAAGCCAGGGGTTGAGTGATGGGGATGAATGGAAAGCTGGAGGAGCTGCCCCTTCCCAGGGATCGGTGGGGCATAGCAAAAGGAGCAGAGCCAGCAAAAAAATCTTGTTTCCATAAAGGCAATGACTCTCCTCCTCTCTCAGGAATAAATTAGATCTAAAATTTTATGTCAGAAGTTTGCATTTTGCAATCTAAATTTCTTTTTTTTTTTTTTTTTTTGGGGGGGGGGGGGGGGGGGATTTTGTACATTGTGCAGCCTGAGCCTGTGCATTTGACATTTATCCAGAGGTTTCCAGATTATTTACAGTGCAAAAGGAGAGGAAAGAAGGAAGAGAAGCCCAGGGACTGAGTGACACATCAATTATTATGTTCTTGGACGGATGGAGTATGTTAGAATGTGATCTCCTGTGTATGGAGCCACCATAGTGAATATTTTTTGCTTTTTATCCAATCTAGACAGAGGTGGGAGCCTGACAATTCCCAGAGGAGACATTCACAGGCACTTGGATCCATGGAAGGCCATGGATAATTTGGGATCAAAGCCAACTTTATGCCTTAGAGAGCAGCCACCTGGCAATGAGCTGATTCCTGCAGGGAAAGGGGCAGCTCCGAGCTGAGCTTTGTTCTTTTCCTGAATAAACTCAGCAGTGACTTCCCCCTGAAGCCTCTCTCATTTTCTGGCATCATGGCACAGAAAGGCAAATTCTGAAGGGCAAAGATCGATTTAGTTTTTGTCAGGACACAAAATCCAGCTGAATATTCCAAGAATGGAGACTGGGCTGGGCCCAAGCTCAGGAGAGGTTTCAGAGATTGGTTTCGAGGGTGCAAAGGTTTAAACCCTGAGGATCAGGAAGGTTCTGGGACCTCAGAGCAGGGAGGAACCTCAGAGCCCTCAAAGTGTGGGGCAGGTGGGCTCAGTTCAGAGCACAAAGCAGCCCAGAGTTCTCCCCTCCTGCAGGCAGGGCCCAGCAGATCCTGCTCCCTTGGCTGGGTCATCCCTGACAGTTTTACAGGCTGGGAATTTGGTGTTATTAGTAATAATTCATTTGCCCTACAGATATTGAGACAAAAATAGTGTCTGATCCTCTGGTGCAAAAGTGAACAGTGACACAAACCATTCATAAAAGATCCCATATAAACCAAATTTTCTTCTTTTCAGGTGTATTTATTATTAGCTCCTTTGTAAACAAGCACGTAAGTTGCCTTTATAGCCAAAATAAGACATGTAAACTTAAAAAATACCAACAGGACCTGTAAATAAATTATCAGCAGTTTTCTGAAATATCAGATACTTCACACATTTCAATGTTTAAATATCTTAAATATCTTTAAATTAACACCCATGGCTAAGACTGGGGAAAAGGAAGTATGGTTGCAATGGAAGACTTTAATGTCAGTGATTCTGTATCAGAGGTTAAGGCCTGAGTCCTCAGAGATATTTCAGAGTATTTTGCCCTCCTGGAAGTGAGGGCTCAGTGTTCTGACAAAGGATCCATCCCTGGCAGTGTCCAGGCCCAGGCTGGATGGAACTCTGAGCACCCTGGGACAGTGGGATGTGTCCCTGCCCACACAGGGCTGGAACAGATGAGCTTCAAGGTCCTCCCAACCCAAACAATTCCAGGACTCCATGAAAAATACAAAAATTTCAACTCTGCTTCTGCTTCCTCCCAGAGCTGGGCCCTGGCTGTGCCAGGAGCTTTCCCTGAGGTTCTGTGAGATTTCTGGGCTACAGAAATCCCTATCCTGAGTGTCTGATTCCGTGAGATCATGAACATGCACACAGAGCCAGCTCCCAGCTGGGCTCTGGGGGATTGCAGACACTGGGGTGCAGTTCCAGCTGCCCTGGGGGTTCCTGACTCCTGTGATGCTCCTGTGGAATTCATCCCACGGCCACGAAATTCCAGCTGTTCCACAGCACAGCTGGAGCACGGAGAAGGCCACAGGAGGTGACAAATGCAGCTCCTGGCTCCCAGTGCCTTCCGTGCTCCTGAGGGATGGGAGGAGGCTCAGAGCTGCCTTCACACCAGTGCTCCCAGTGCTCCCAGTGGGCTCCAGCCCCATGGATCCCTCATGGAGCTGGGCATCAGCAGCTGTGGGCACAGAGAGCTGACACAGGGCAGCAGGAAACATCCCCAGGGCCCTGCACCTGTAATTCCTTCTCTTCCCCAATATCCTGGAGGATGAGGATGGCCTGGGTACCCCACACCCAGCTGCTCGGGCAGCCAAGGCTTTCTGTGCTTGCACAGTCCCACAGAAATAAATACTAATAAATATTAAATAAACAAAGAATTGACCCATTAAACAATGGAAGATTCAAGCAGTTCTTTCAGGAAGTGACTTTCCAAATAAGTTAACACATGCAGTGGTTTGAACAGCAACTGCCATCCCCTGGCCTTGCAAGTCAATAAATAAATAAATAAATAAATAAATAAATAAATAAATAAATGTTAAATATATAAACAAATAAAATAAATTAAATAAATACTAGATAAATAAATAACAAATAAATAAATATGAGATAAATAAAGGCATAATAATAATATGAAGGACATACAACAAGAGCTGCCAGACCCCAGTCAAAATCATATTAACGTAACATGATGGATGCTAAAAGTGTAACTTGAATCTGGGGGATTTAGGAGCTGCCAAAATCAGGGCCACATTCAATTGTTACAAAAAAAAAAAACAAAACAAAAAAAAAAAAAAACCAAGTTATAGCTTCTTAAGGATCTCAAATAGAGACTTTTCTTCTAATTGTGCTTCTGTTCTTGTGCTAATTCTTTCTCTGCTTTCTCTAGGAGCACTGTGCCACCCTCCTTACTGGTTATCTGTGAAATAAGGTCAGGAATTGAATTTCCAGGTGAATTCCATCGGGGAGCAGGAGTGCCAGCCCAGCTGGGGGATCCTTACCTGCAGAGTGAGGACCACTGGCTCCAGGAGCTGAGGTAGCAGCGGTCCCTGGCCTGCACCCACACCTCTGCTGGCCCGGGGGCTGGCAGCTGCACAGACTGCTCCTCACTGTCGTACACCTGGGGACAGGGACAGCTCCTTCAGGGCCAGGCCGGGGCACAGGACCACCACAGGCACCAGGAAGGGTCACGGAGCCCCCGCTGCTGCCCCAAAGCTCAGTGGGTGCCAAAGTCCTGGGGCTCAGGAGAGCCTGGGCTCAGCAGAGAGAGCTGAGAGGCTCAGGTAGCACTGAGGGGGTGTCCCACAGTGACCCAAACCCAGTGAGGGTGTAAATGACCCAAACCCATGGAGCTGGATGTTCTAAATGACCCAAACTCACCAAGGCGGTGCTCTAAATAACCCAAACCCACTGAGCTGGGTGTCCCAAACAGATCCAGACCCACTGAGGGTGCAAATGACCCAAACCCACTGAGCTTGGTGTTCTGAATGACCCAAACCCACTGAGCTGGATGTCCTAAATGACCCAAACCCACTGAGCTTGGTGTTCTAAATGACCCAAACCCACTAAGCTTGGTGTTCTAAGTGACCCAAACCCCAAACCTAAACTCTCATTAAACACAGGGGTCGTTTGTTTATCTGGGGTTTTTCTCTTTTTCCTCCTTCTCCCAGAGCAGGAGCCCTAAACTCCAGAAGCTGCTCCTCCTCGGGATGGTTGAAATTCCCCCTGGGGCTGTGCAGGATGGCACAAGAGCATCCCCAGCCCCAGCAGTTCCCTCTGGAGGCTGCAGGAGCCAGCGCTGCTGGGACCAGGGACTGAGCCCTATCTGCTGGTGCGGGCTGGGCCCCGTCCCCAGCAGAAAACATTCCCTGATGCCTTTTGTTGCCCTGGTTTTTAAAAGGGTTAAGTTGTCTTTTATAGTCCTTTTGAAAGTCTTAAAGTTCTCATAAAACTTCTTCAACCTTCTGATCTGTTTACATATTTCTGCTAGAGTTCTCACACACTGTTCATGTAAATAATGATTGTTTTACATTTTTCTTGGTGGGAGGAGAGAATTGATGGGCTGTTGGTTTGACCAGTGTGGCTGGAGAGGAGACAATTCCACTCTCCAATCCACAGCCACCTCTAGAATTCTATAAATATCAGATGCTCGAATTAAAGGTTCTATTTTTTAGCCTTTAAACGCCTTGCCAAGCGTTTGTGTACTTATTTCGTGTCCAATAGCGACACCTTTGGTTCCCCCCTGGAAAACCGGGATAAACCCAGGATAACCCCGGGATAACCACTCCTGCTGCCGGCTTTGCTCGGTGCTGGGCTGAGGAAGGGCAGCCCTGGCTCGGTGTCAGCTGCTCAAGTGATTTTCCCAGCTCTTCTCCAAGGCAGGTGTCGTGTGTCCGAGAGGAATTTGGGCTCACATTGGAGATTTAACCCTGACAGTTAATTAATCCCAGGAATTAACGGGGAATCGAGGGGCAAAGACCAGACTCTCCATGGAAATGCTTCCAGGTGAGTCACTGATCCCTGATTTCCAATTCACCTATAAAGCCTGAGCTGCCCAGGGATGAACAACACAGGAGGAAATTTGTGTCACGGATCCTGGGGTTCTGGGTTTGGAAATTGGGATTTTCCCACATGAGGCCCTGCACAGCCTCCTAGTGAGTTAGTAAACACAACCATGCAATGCTGGACAGGGTTTTCTGTCCTCAGTTGCCTCAGGGATTTTCCTGCTCATGGAACTGGGAAAGGTTTTTCCTGCCAGGATAGAATTTGCCACTTTTGGGGCTCAGCACCATTTTTTTTTTTTTTAAATTTTTAATTTTAGTTCATTTTTCTCATGTACAAAAATTATTTCTACTATCCAGGCAAGAAAATTGTGTCTCAAATGTTGTGTTTCTACCTGGTATCTGCGTCTCTTTGTGCTTTTAACTTTGACCTTGAAAGTCAAAGGGAAGTAGGAGTTTGGGGTGCTCCAGGTCCTGGGATAAGTCCAGGTCACTGTTCCATTGGTGGCCACGTACTGACACTGGGGGGGGTCAGGCTTTACTGCAAGAGAAAACACAGAGGGAGTTAATTCATGTGGAGAACTGGAAGTCAGCTGTTGCTGTGTTACTGGTGACAGTTTTATGGGAGTGAGCTTTGGGAGCCTCCAGGTTAAGAGAGGAGTAGCCCTGAGGTGTGATAAGGAGTAGTAGTAATAATAAGTAATGGTAATAGTAGTAATAATAAGCACCCGAGGAGTAGCCTTTGGTGCTTTTTATGTAAAATTAAGCACAATCCTAGACTCAGTCTGCATAAGATCCTTCTTTTTTTGGCCTGCAGGGCTGCAGAGGGCTCTGCTGGACACACAGGAATATCTTCAGCACCTGCTGACCATTAATGCTTTAGGAAAACCTCTGTTTCTTTAGGATGCTGCCTCGTTTCCCTGTGTCCTGTGGCCACAGCTCAGAGCCCTCTCATTCCTGTCCCTTTCTGTGAACCTGCCCTGACTGCCCATCTAGGGATGGCTGAGGAGGGAAGCATCCCTAGCCTGAACAGTTCTTAGAGAGGAGCCTGCTGGATTATTCTCTGGCTTGTCCCTTCCCGACCAGGTCCATCCTTTGGGGACATTCAGGGACCTGTGGGTGTTGAGGCATTGGAGGTCACAAGCCAGGAAGATGCTGCTGCTTTACTTCCTCATGCTTTTCTGTGCTGGCCCCCTGTTCCTGTAACTGGAGCTCAGTGGACATTTACAGAGCACGGGACAGGGATTCCCGGGGCTGGGCTGAGCCCTGGCAGCAGCAAAATAAAGCTCAAAATCAACCCCCACAGCTGGGCTACTCACTGATGTCCCTGATGAAGAAGCTGGCGGTGTAATTCTCATATAACACCTCATCAATGGCCTCCAGGAGGATGTCAATGGGCTGGTGCTCCTCAGCAAAGGGACAGAAGTTCTCCTTGTGGCACTGGGCCGTGTAGGTGGTCAGGGCCCCCTCGCTCAGGGCCACGGGGCTGCTGCAGGACACGTCTCCCTGGGGGCTGGAACAGAGCAGGGAGAGGCACTGGGAATGCTGCTTTGTCCTGGGATTGGGGTTACAAAACCTCGTGTGTTCGGTGAGGAAATGTTTTGGTTTGCCTGTAGTTTGTCTGCTGCAGAAAAGGGTCAGTGGGGCTGCCACATTCCTGGTGCTGTGGGATGGATTAATGTCAGTTCTCAGCCTCAGCTCACCCTTGCCTTCAGGAGGAATTAATCTTTAAACCTAAACCAGGATCTCTCATTTCCACCATCCCTTGGCAAGCTCCGGTTTCCTCCTTCGTCCCTCTGCCCTCTCCCAAACCCTGCTGAAGAAATGAGGGCTGAGAAGTCTCCGCTGGGAAACAAACACCCAAAGCTGCCAAAGCACCACCTGAGCCAGGCTCTGTTTGTGCTGCACCCCTTGGCAGCCGTTTCTCCTCTGGCAGGCTGGGGTGACCTTTGCTGGAGCACTCCACGTTTTGGAGAACCCCCCGGGGCAGTGGGAGGCAGGAAATCCCCCCAGGGCTCCCAGCACCATTTCCCTGCAGGTTCCTGCAGGGTTCCTCAGCACAGCCTTGTCAGGGGCCATGTGCTCTGCAGTGGGGGCAGCCTCCCACTCCCACTCCACCCTGCACTGCGAGCTGTGGTTCTTTCTGCCTCGCTCCACTTCCTCTCTGCCCTGCACCGACTCTTTTGCTGTTGCTTAAGTTACCCAGTGGCTACTCCAGCCCAATGGACTCATTCTTTTTTCAAGGATTTATTCATTTCTGAGTGACTTCCATGCCCTTACTAAGTTAACTTTGTCCCAGTAATGACTCAAAATGTTTTGGGGACGTTCAGACCTGGAAAAGAGATCTCCCCCCATTTGCATGCCCCTAACAGCCTGAAATCCTACACAGAGTAACACCAAGGGCTGCTCTGTGGGGCTGTGAAGGGAAGTACAAACTCTTACTCTTCCAGGCTTCTGATGGTGAACTTCACATTTGGATTATTTTCTGTCATCCAGGAACATGTGAAAATTCCTGAGTAGTTCTTTGCCTCGCACTTCAAAAACGTCCTGTTGGGCTCTAGACAGAGAAAGACAGAAACCAGGAGTTATTTACTCTTGTTTGCCAAAATGGCCAAGACAGAGAGAAACAATCCATGAATTCATAAATTCCCTGGCAGTACCATGAGGGACTCAAATACAAGACTCAGATGAGTGAGGTTCATCCAGAAAATGCAAAACATCCCAGGCTTGTCTCCTGAAAGGAGAGGCCCAAATGACAGCACTTCAAACCTGGGGCAGGCCCTGGTTCTGCCAAACCCCAGAATCCTGGAACCTCCTGTGCTGGAAGAGACCCACAAGGATGATGGAGTCCAGCTGCACAGCCCCAAAATCCCACCCTGGCATTCCTGGAGCGCTGTCCAAGCCCTCCTGGAGCTCTGTCAGCCTCGGGGCCGTGCCCATCCCTGGGGAGCCTGGGCAGTGCCAGCACCTCTGGGGGAAGAACCTTTCCCAAAATCCAAACTGAGCCTCCCCTGGCCCAGCCCCAGCTCTTCCCTGGCTCCTGTCACGTAGCCCTGGCTTTCCAAACCACCCCTCAACCCTATCAGCCTGGAGAATCCCAAATAAATCCCACAGCCCCACTCCCTGTGCTGCTCATCATCTGCACCGCCCGGAGCTGCAGGAGGGATGATTTTCCTGCCGCTCCCAGCAGAGCTGCTGCAGAGAACACCTCTGCAAGGACATTTCCCAGGGGCTCCCAGAGCCTGCCCCAAGCTGAGCAGGACCATCCCAGCACTGCGGGGCCGTACCCTTAAAGCTCTTGAGGATGTCCCTGAGGAGGTGGCCGTCGGGGCCGATCCTGGCGATGAGGAGGAGGCTGGAGCTGAGCACTTGGTGGCTCTCCTCGCTCACACAGCTGTAGTTGCCGGCGTCCGGGAGCTCCTTCACGGCCACGCTCAGAGTCTTCCCTTTCTGCTTGCCCTCCGAGTCCTTCCTCCAGTACACTGCCTCCTCAGAGCTGCCACAGCTGAGCTCCACCGTGGTGGCCGCGGCCTCGGCGTCCCACCGGGAATCCACCACAAACACTGCGGATGGCAGAGGAGATTCAGGAGCTGCTCACGCGGCCCAGGGCTGAGCCTTCCTGCAGCTCTGTCTGCAGAGAGCTCTGGGGGAGCCCCAGGGAGGCTTTTCCTCAAAGGTCGGACACTGAGAAACCCGTCAAATACGGAATCGCAGCTGGCAGCTCTAGGAAGTCTGGGAGTCTCCCAAACTCCCTATGGACACGGGCAAAGGGATCTTCAAACTCAACGGTGACAAACAGATCTGCGCTTTCAGCATCAAATCCCTCCCAGGGAACACCCAGGATAAATATTCTTTTTAATGTAAAGATAACTCAATGAAAGAGAGGACAATCTGAATTTCGTCCAATTTTCTGATAAGTTATTCAAAAGAATTGTACATTATCTACCTTGTATTTTTACAAATGGATGTACATTTAAGTTCTTTACCAGAGAAGCTGATAAACTATTTATAGGTTTTAGGTTTTACTCAGAAATAGATTTTCTTTTTCACGACTAATTCTTCACTTGTTTTTTTTTAGGGCTGTTCCCTTAGTCACAGTTTTCGTGCCCAGGCTGTGTGACTGAGACTTTGAGCATGAGCAGAAGGAATAAGAAATAAAACATTTGCTAATGCAAATGCAGCAAATATGCTGTTGGAAGACATTTTCGAACTTTTAAATATTTTTCTACAAACTCCAATTAATTATGGTCAAACAAATAAACATATTTAGCCTTGGCCTAAAATACTGGAGTTAACAAATCCTGTGCTAGTGGCCACAATTAGAATTCCAAAGTTTTAGGTCTGACTAAGTATTCCTTACCATTTTCCTGCAGTTTCCACTGGGCACTTTCCAGTAGGGCAGCAAAGGAAAACAGGGACAGTAAGGCACAGAGGAGGTGAGACATCTGTAGGGGTAAAAAAAAACCATTATAAAACTTCACTGAGGTTGGCTGAGTGTGCTCCAAAATCAGGCTGGGGCTGGGCAGGGTGACAAGGACACAAAATCAGTCCCAGTGAGCTGAGGAACATCTTCCCGTTCTGAGAACTCTGGGAGTCCATAACAGTGAAATCTCAGCGTTGTGCTGGAGCTGCAGCCCTGATTTTGATCCACTTGGGATTCTCATGCCCTGAAGGATCAATGGCCATCCCATCCCACCCATCCAAAGCCTCGTTTGGCTCAGCTCATCAGCAGTCCCTTTTTTTTTTTTTGTTTAAAGGCTTGGGGACAACCCCAAGGAGCTGCTGGAGGGTTCTGCTGGGCTCTGTCCCCATCTCTGAACACAGCAGGGCCGGTGCTCAGGGCAGAGCTGCTCCCAGCTCCAGTTCCACTCCAGTTCTGGTATCCACCTGAGCTCCCACAGCTGAGCTGGGAACAATTTCAGGCAAAATTCCTCCTGCGTTCAGTGCCACAGCTCCGTCTGCAGCAAGGGCTGGGAGTGGAGATCATTGCTGCCCTATGGCCAAGATATAAATGGATATTTGTCCTGAATTTGTTCCAAATACTGCCAGAACCCTCCAGAAAACACAAAACACCTTTGCCAAATATTGTCATAACTACTGGTTGCATAAAAACTTGAATAACAGTTATTTAGGTGCGCTTCCAGAGCTTTTCAAACCAGAGAGTAAACCAAATGAACAGAATCTTTTCAAGACAGAAATGGTGAATATCATTTCAAAGCCTATTCTAACTGCAGTGGGAGGCTGAATGCAGGTGGAAAATTAAAATTTTCACACAAAATTAAGTGGTTGGAGTTATTTTTTTCCTCCCAAACCATTCTTTTTTGTAATGAAAGAGGAGTAGCCCTCCTGATTCCTTGAGAACAGAGTATATTCCTGTACAGATCAATTCCTAGTGCAGATCCTGCTGTTCTGGGCATCCTAAATCCTGGTCACAAATCATCCAGTGCCCTTTGGATTTGCACCCAGCTCTTAATGGGACCAGGAGCTACAATAAAGTGTCTGGAGAGTGTCCAGGAAAGGCAGCAGCTCCTGCTGTGCTCAGAGAGGGGCACAAGGCTCAGGGAAAAGCCAGTTATTGTTGGACAGAAATTGCATAAAAATTTAGTTTGGAAAAGAGCTCTAAAATATATCACACCCTATTAACAGTGCTAATAACTGCTTCATTACACTCTCAGATTTCAGGCAGGATTGGCTGGAATTTCCAACAGAAAGATTCATTTGTCAGCTTTCTGAAAGTCGCTGGTTTCTGTCACAGAAACACGAAATTCATCAGCACACTTCATAAACCTGAAACTGAACATCAAAACATCAAAACAGCACCTCAGACTGGGGGAGGGCAGTGGGACTTGTGCCTTCTCCTCCATTCATCACTATTAAAACATCCAAAACAGAAAAGTTTCTCCTGCTTTCAGGGAGACGCTGAAGCCGCATGAATCAGGTTTTTGATTAAACCAGTCAACAATTTGCATGGAGATTATTCACATTGTAGAAGTGCTCCTCCCCCATCTCCAAATTTTATTGAAAAATTAATCAGAAACAAACTCAGATTCTGAACACCACCAGTGAGTGCCTGAGCACTTCAGAAATGAGAATATTCCAGCTCCAAATGTTCAGGAAATCACAGAATCATGGAACAGTTTGAGTTGGAAGGACCTCAAAGCCCTTCCAGTGCCACCCTGCCATGGCAGGGACACCCCTCACTGTCCCTGGTGCCCCAGTGTCCAGCCTGGCCCTGGGCACTGCCAGGGATCCAGGGGCAGCCACTGCTGGGCAGTTCCTTCCCAAAATCCCATCCATCCCAGGAGCTGCTCTGGGAATTCCATCTCAGCCCCTGCCCATCCTGCCAGGGAACAATTCCCAATTCCCAATCTCCCATCCCTCCCTGCCCTCTGGCAGTGGGAGCCATTCCCTGGGTCCTGTCCCTCCATCCTTGTCCCCAGTCCCTCTGCAGCTCTCGGGGAGCCCTTCAGGCCCTGGAGAGGCTCTGAGCTCTCCCTGGAGCTTTTCTTCTCCAGGTGAGCACCCCCAGCTCTCCCTGGAGTTTCTCCTCTCCAGAGGAGCACCCCCATCTCTCCCTGGAGTTTCTCCCCTCCAGGGGAGCACCCCCATCTCTCCCAGCCTGGTCCAGCCCTGCAGCAGCTCCGTGGTTTCCTCTGGACTCTCTCCAGCAGCTCCAGGTGCTGCTGCTGATGGAGACCCCGGGGCAGGAGGCTCTGCAGGTGGGGTCTCACCTGAGCACAGGGGCACAGTGTCCTTGGTGTCCCCTCCGTGTCCCCGCTGCTCTGGAGCTGGAGGGCTGGGACTGAGCCCCGGTTCCTTCACTGAGAATCTCCAAGTGATTCCTGCCAGGAAGGAGCTCTGGAGCTCACCTGGGCCAGTCCCAGCTCCTGGCAGGAGCCAGTGGAACAGAGCAGCCATAAAAAGGAGTTTGGCAACACTCCCAGCCCAGAAACACCAACCCTGGTCCAAGCAGGGATATGACTGCCTGCTGACACAGGTAACGAGCAGGATTTACATATCAACATCATGTGCTAAACTTTATCAGCATATAAACACTGCCCTGAAGAAAATGTCCCAGTGACTATTTCAATGCACTCCCAAGTAAATAATGTTACATTTGCATTAGAGTAAAGAAGAAGAAATGAGTTCTCACCGTTTCCTGGGAAGCCTCTGGCTGGAGCTTGGCTCTGGGAGGTGAAGGAAACAAAGTTCTGGTCCCAAGGCCTGCAGAGGAAAGGGGTGCCTTATAAATGCTCCCTGCCACCGCAATACCACAGGATTGCAACACGTGGCTCCAGTTCCTATTTTACATTGGGCCACAGCTGCAGCCAAAAAAAAAAATATTTGGGAGTCCCAGGTAAACTTCGAGGAGGAAATGAAATTATGAGATTGTAAAGCGACCTTTAGTGGTTTCCCAGAGTCATTTCCTTTCCTCACTGGTTTTCTGTCTCTCATTCTGTCTTCATCACAGAGGAAGAGTGAAGAGACCAAATAAACTTCCAGAGGATCTGATGGGAAACACAGAATGAAGACAGAAAGAGAAAGTTCAATAAACTAAAACTCTTTCTACCTGATAAGCATGAGATAATTATGTGACCTCTAATCTCAGCTCCCACATCAATCAGCAGGAAAGGGAACATTGATTTTTAATTGCTGGTTTTGAGTTATGTTTGTTCCATGAATTGAGACTTAACCAAAAAATAAACAATTAGTTCTTAGAGATACCTGATATTTGCACATCATTATACTGCAGATTTTAGATATAATCTGAACCTGGTGTTCCTTGTAGACCTCAGGCATAAGAAGAGCCCTGTGCTCCACATGGGCTTTGAAAATGACAAAAGGCTGTGTGGATTTTTTTTTTTTTTTAATTGGTTGTGAATTAATTGAACACAATTCTCATTATTTGCCAGACAAACACTGCTTTTAAAAGGTTTGAAACTCAACCTGACACACTTTAGGAATTAATGGAGAGACACAGCTGCATTCCAGGTGCTTTCCAGGGGCAGGATTCCCACAGTGCAGGGATTATAGTGCCAGAATCCCGTTCCTTTGCTACAGAATCCCAGAATGGTTTGGGTTGGAAGGGATCGTGAAAATCATCTATTCCACCCCTGCCATGGCAGGGACACCTCCCCCTGTCCCAGCTGCTCCAAACCCTGTCCAGCCTGGCCTTGGGCACTGCCAGGGATCCAGGGGCAGCCACAGCTGCTCTGAGCACCTGTGCCAGGGTCTCAGAGGGAACAATTCCTTCCCAAAATCCCATCCATCCCTGCCCCCTGGCACTGGGAGCCATTCCCTGGGTCCTGTCCCTTCAGGCTGGGGCCAGGCAAGAAACGGGGCTTGAATGGGGCCACACTCACCTCTGGGGGCTGAGCTGTGACTCCTTCCGACCCCACAGGACACAACCCCAGGCTCTGCATTCCCAGGTGACCCTGATGACTCCCTGCCCATCCCAGAGTGCCCAGCCTGCTCCTCAAACACGGGAATTCCCTGTGCCAGGGCTGCTGGCAGAGCTGGGCACGGGCGGAGCACCGGGGCTGCGGGAGGGCAGCGCTGGGAGCAGCTCTGAGCAGGGGACAAGCTGCTCCCTTCCCATCCCAAATGCTGAATTACCCAAAAGCTGCTCCCTTCCCATCCCAAATGCTGAATTACCCAAAAGCTGCTCCCTTCCCATCCCAAATCCTGAACAGCCCAAAAGCTGCTCCCTTCCCATCCCAAATCCTGAACAGCCCGAAAGCTGCTCCCTTCCCATCCCAAAAGCTGAACAGCTCAAAAGCTGCTCCCTTCCCATCCCAAATGCTGAATTACCCAAAAGCTGCTCCCTTCCTGTCCCAAATCCTGAACGACCCAAAAGCTGCTCCCCTCCCATCCCAAATGCTGAATTACCCAAAAGCTGCTCCCTTCCCATCCCAAAAGCTGAATGTGGCTCAGAGGGGTCACGGAGCCATGCCTGACACAGACCTGACCAGCAGCATGGGGCTGCTCACCTGAGCTCTGTGCCAGTGCCAGGATGGACAGGACAGAGCTCTGGGCACTCCCAAAGGGACCCAGAGCACTCCAGGTGACAGAGGTGTCCCCTCCTCGTGCTGGTCCCTCACTGCCTTGGAGGGCAGCTCAAAGGAGGCTGTGCTGGCACCGTTTCCCAGCTCAGCTCCTTGTCCTCCTTCCAGGAGCCCGTCTGGGAGTGAGGAGCAGGAGCAGCTCGGGGGCAGCGAGCCCTCCCCTCCTGCTGTACACACAGCCCTGGGCACAAGGCAGAGGGAGCCAGAGCTGGGCACAAATTTGTTCCCATTGAAGACAATTTGCAGCATCCAAAATCCCTGTTGTGATTACAACAAGCCAGCAGCGACAGGCAGCCTGCGAGCTGAGGTCAGTCACTGATACAAAGAAGGGCAGCAGTGAATTTATGTGCATTTCCTTCTCCTCAGCCCACCAGCCCCTTTCTGCTTCCATGGATGCACTTCTCTGTAGTCACAGTGACTAATGCAGAGCTTAACAGAGCTCTTGGAGTGCCTGCTCACTGCTGAAACGTGGGCAGATGCTCCTTAATACGGATAAACCAAAGAATTAATACAAACAAATGCACATTTTCAGTGTGTGGTTGCATCAAGCCTTCCTAATTCCCTCAGCTCAGCTCCCAGGACACACGGAGTGCCTTGGTGCCCAAGGCTTTATGCCAAGAATCCCAAAAACCATTCCTGGAGCACAGACACCTCAGGGTGGAACTTCCGTGCTGGGATGGTTTCCTGTGATCCATCAGAGGAATTTTTAAATATTAAAACATAGAGATTGTGAAAAGCTCTTTCGATGACTGCCTGGTTTTCCACTATGAGCTCATTGATTCTGAAGGGGAAATTCGGAGAGGAGCAGCTTCTCCCCATCTTCTTCCTCTGCTTCCCCTATGACACTGACAGAGAATGTGCAAACCCTGTCCATGCTTTATTTAATGCCAAGGAAAATCTCCTCTTTGGCAGAAAAAGCCCATTTAAAAACAGGTTTCCTTTCTTAGCATTTTTACTTTGTGGAATGACAAAGAAATCAGCCCAATTCAGAGGAAAAAAACCTGTATAACTTAGAGAAAATGAATAATTATAAAAAGTGTATAGTCTGTATGATTCCTCTATATGGAATCCATTTTCCATGGATGTCCGTTGGCAGATTAATGCCAAGGATCAACTTTTATTCCCAGGATTTTTATTGTAGTAGCACTGAGAAAAGAACACTGTTCTTTATCTGTAACTCTATATATTGTTCTTAATCTAGAATTAATTATTCTAATATCTATAAATTATTCTTAATCTATATATAATTCTTAATCTATAATTCAGTCATTTATGTGAATTCATCAGGAAATACTGTGTAATATTAGTGTACCAATGAATTTTCCTAAACAACTCCCCTCAAGCCACTCCATGGAATCACTGAACCAAGCTCCAGCCTTGAGAAAAATACAAGACACAGGGGAAAAAAGATATCCAACTTCTGCCAAGAAGCAAAAAGTTTATAGGGCAGGATGAATTTGATTTTGGTACCACTGGAGCAGCTGGCCAGGATGGGGATGGAGGGGACAGGAGGATGGGCAGAGCACCACTGAGCTCTGCCCTAATCAAGGCCAGGCTGAGGAATCCTCCAGTTCCAGGTGGGAGCTGTGCCCAGGGCAGGGTGGGACGTGGGACTGGGGCAGACACGGAGCAGGAGCCCCCTGAGAGGAGAAAAGGAGATTTCACCTCTCGCTCCTGCCCCAGCAGCTCTCAGCGTGCAACCCCCAGAGCTTTGGGTGCCTCTGCACAAACTCCTGGGCTTGGAGACAGCAGCAGAGGGATGAAAAGAGCAGGAAGAGCCAGAAGTGCCTTGCACAAGGACTTTTAAAGAAAGGCAAACACGGTGTGACATTTCCAAAGGGGTTTAAGAACCAAATCTCATTTTCTACAGTAAATGACTCTCAGAATCAATGGGATTTGAGTGCTCAAATCCATGAGGTGCTTTTGCAACTCTTTACAGGTGCTCAGGGAATGTGGGGCAGGGATCCAAGAGGAATTGGTATTTCTGATGGATTTATTGCAGAATTAGAGTTATCAATCCTCTCTGGCACAGGGACAGCAGGCACAGGGAGATGGGTCAGTGCTGGTCCAAAGTGCTCTGATCTCTGCTCCTCTGGTACCAACCCACTGCTGCCATCCCAAACCTGGCACTGGGATTAACCTGGCATGGATATAAACCTGGCACTGGGATTAACCTGGCATGGATATAAACCTGACACTGAGATCAATCTGACATTAATATAAACCTGACACTGACATCAATCTCACACTGAGATCAATCTCACACTGAGATCAATCTGACACTGATATAAACTGACACTGAGATAAACTTAACACTGAGATCTGACTGATATAATTGATATATCTGATACTGAGATAAACCTGACACTGAGATCTGACAATGATATAATTAATATATCTGCCACTGAGATAAACCTGACACTGAGATCTGACAATGATATAATTGATATATCTGACACTGAGATAAACCTGACACTGAGATAAACCTGACACTGAGATCTGACAATGATATAATTGATATATCTGACATTGAGATAAACCTGACACTGAGATCTGACAATGATATAATTGATATATCTGCCACTGAGATAAACCTGACACTGAGATAAACCTGACACTGAGATCTGACAATGATATAATTGATATATCTGCCACTGAGATAAACCTGACACTGGTATAAACCTGACACTGAGATCTGACAATGATATAATTGATATATCTGACACTGAGATAAACCTGACACTGAGATCTGACAATGATATAATTGATATATCTGACATTGAGATAAACCTGCCAGCACCCAGCTGGAGGAGCCAGCTGCAAGCTGGGCTCTTCTCTTGAGCTGGGCTCATTTCTTGGGGATGTTGTAACTCTGAACTCCACCAGCAGCGCTGCTTGGGCCATGTTACAGTGCTGGGGGTGGGGAAAGAACATTGCAAACTGAAAGTCAAGGGGAAAGCCCAGTAAATTCATTTCATTGACTGAAATTCAAGCAGCATTTTCTTCGTCTGACAGCTCCTAGAAAAGGAGTTTTCAGACAAAGCCCAGCCAGGCCATTCTAGGTCCAAGGGGAGTTTGGACAATGCTCTCAGGGACAGCGGGGGGGTTGCTGGGGTGTCCAGGAGTTGGACTGATGATCCTTGAGGATCCCTTCCAGCCCAGGATATTCCATGATTCTGTAATTAAAGCACTCAGGGATATACCTGGAAGAAAAAGGAAGTTGTGACAACTTCCTATTTTGCTATTAATTATTAATGTGTAAATATTTATTTAATGCTAAATAAATAATGCCTGGGGACCCAAACTGAGAATGGCATGGCAGGATAAGGGATTCAGGAGTTCACAGGAACACTCAATGCCCAAGCAGGATCCAGGCATCTTGTTACATCATTTTTTATCTGTCAGAAAATTCCAAGTTCCTCAAGGTGGGGAAAGGAAACTTTAAATTATGTAATAAGATCTCTGACACCTCCCATGACTGTGAGGGAATGAGGTCATACAAGACCTATTTGGAAAGCAAAAACTTTTCACCAGTGAACCACTGAAGCATCCCTGAACTTCTGAAAGCCAAAGAAAATTTTGGAATTACTCCAGGGTTGCTCTGTGACATCACATTCACTCCTGTAGCCCCTTTGCTGCATTTGTGTTGTAACAAATGGGACAATGCTGTAACCAACCCCTTAAAATTAAAATCCAGGGGCTCTGACACAGGAGGGTTCCCAGGACCCAGGGCAGAAGAGAGGGACTGTGGAATGGCAAATCCTCCTCCAAGCCAGTTTGGTGCTACCACACATTTCTGACTGGGACAGGGCAGATTTTGGTGCCAACACCTCAGGAACTGGGATAATCTCCATGGTCCCCTGTTGATTTTCCTACTTTTACAGAGACAGGGTAACAGAGGCGTTTAAAAGGCGTTTTTGTTCCATTATCAATCTTGATGAAGGGTGAGACGCAAGAGATGTAAAATCCAACGCCATTCCATCAGAAGCCAGCCCATTTCCTGGTCACAACACCTTAGAAATGTTGTTCAGCCTATTAGCTTTTGCCACACAATGCTGCTAATACCTCTAACACCAATCACCTGTATTCTTACCTCTATTTTAACATACATTTAACACCAAGCACCTATTATTTTACCCCACATGGTCCTGCTGCAATGCACCTTTCACAGTTCTAGTTCTCTAAAACACCTGATGTTTTTGCAAGGCCATCTTTTGAAACTTGTTTCCAGCTGAATCTCTCTCTCAGCAATGTCATCTCTGTTCCATGGCCTCCCTAAGGCTGCACACCTTTTCTCAGAGTTTGCACACAGGTGGACCAGGCTGTATGAGCTTTACCAGGCTTGAGATTTCTTTACAAATCCATTTCTGACATTTCCATGTCCTGGGCTGTCCCAGGAGCACATCCCTGTTCCTGCAGCTCAGTCAGTGACACCAGGCTGAAGAGCTGTGAATAATTCAGAGTGAGGAGAAAGCTTTGCATGAGGGAACTTCCAGCAAGGATTTTCCCAGGAGAATGATGAAACTGCCTGCCTGGAGTGAGCACATCTGTTCCTGCTGGGGCCAGGGAGGATGAGGATGTGCCTGGAGTTGCTCATTTTGGGAATTGTGCTCCCTTGCTCCTCCCTGTGCTCTGACATCACCCTGATTAAACACCTCAACAGCCCCACAGAAAAAGTGTCCTTCACCCAGGTGGAATAATTGACTCATGCCAGTAAATTCCTGGAGCTGAGCAGGAATTTTGTGATTTGCCTGAGGAGATATGGGGAAAAGAAAACCCAAAACAAGTAAGGGATGTGTTTCACATTTAAAATGCTCATGGATTTGTAGTTTGGGTTGATTTTTGCCAAAAATTGGAATATGATGCCTTTTTTGGGGGGTGATCCTGTACACAGGGCTATTGAAACACAAGTAAAAATCACTGCTTTTTGCACATCTGGGAGCTCATTTGACCTTGTGCCAGGGGAGGAGATCTCTGCTGGGTTTTGCTCTCATTAGGGGCAGGATATGAAGGGATGAAACCAGGAACTTGCAGATTTCAGGGAGAAGAGGATGTTTTCCTGGCCAGTAAATAAATGAGCCCTGCAGCCCTCACACAGCGAGTGTGGACTCTCCTCTGTCCCTTCCTAACTCTGCTCTGAAGGGATCTGGGGGGACAACCCTCACTCTTTCCAGCTGGAAAATGCATGAAACTCACTTTCCATCTCCACAGGGCAGAGCTGCAGGGCACAAACATTCACTGGCCCCAAACCCATTTGTTAATCAGCTCTTTCAGCCATAAACTCATCACTCCACTTTCCCCTACATCTCTGGCTTTTCCTGCTTATTCCTACGGGTGAAATGGCCAGGGCACTCCTGGCAGTGCTGCAAACAAGCCCCAGTCTGTGTGCAGAGCTCAGGGAGTGACCCAGAACTGGGCACTTCTTTGATCTTCCCCCAGCAGCAGGAGTCACTCAGGAGTGGCTTCCACCACAAGGGACACGACTTTCCTCTGTGGTGACAGCCCCTGCAGGGACAGCTGGAAAGCCAGCACCTGCCTCTGCCTCCTTGGGCTCCTGCAGAGCCTTTGCCACGCTCCAAATCCCTCTGATGTTCCACATGGGACAAACCTTATAAAAGAAAAGATTGATAAAATCCCAGCTCAAGCCTTACTTCAGCTATGTACAGCTAGTAACTAGCTTAAGTTCCCTTGAGATGGAATTAAGAGAATGAGAATCAGTTTAAATAACTCATTCTAGTAAGAAAAACAGACTGCACCTGTAAAAAGTCCATGAAGACTCTTCATAAGAGTCCATGAAGAAAACATGTGAACTAGCCAAAAGTAGAGGGGTTTTAGGAACATGCACCCTCACCATTTACTGAGCAATAAACTGTCAGTGTATTGTTACCCAATTAGATTGATTCTTGTTAAGCAAAATACTGTCAGTGTGTTGTTAATCAATTAGATTAACACAGTAGCTTCTAATATTCCTATAAAAATAAGAGCTATGCAATAAAAACTCAGCTTTCCTAGATAAAAAAATCAAGAGTCCCATCTGTTTCTCTTGCAGCACTGTGACAGTGAGGGAAAGCTGTGCTGACTCCCCATCGGTTGTGGAGTTCCTGAGGCAAGGGAGAGGCAGCAGGAACAGCCCTGAACTGCAGAATCCCTCCAGAAACACACCCGGGACAAGCTCAGCAGTTAAACATTGATATTCTTGTGCAATATTTGTTTGCACCTGTAATGAAAACAATATCAACTTTAAACGTCCTGTGACAATTTCCTCCACCTCTAATTAATGCCCGAGATTAAGAACCACTTGAGAGAGCTCTAGTCTGGCAGTTGTAACCATAAATACCTTTGCCAAAGGAATTATTGTTTGCCCCGAGCAAATTAGCTTCAGTCCTAATTGACATTGCTCCTGGGATCCTGTCTGGAGAGTTCAGCAGAAAACCACTTTCACCAGAGAGTGCAGCCCAGTATAAACCAGTTACTGGTGCCCAGAGGGGATGGAGCACACGGGGAGGAGAATTCTTTCCTCAACCAGCTGAATTTAATGAACTCTGCTCAAGTGTTCTGAGCATCCTCATGGAAGGGCATTTCCAGCTGGATCTGCAGGGAGCTCAAGAGCAGGCTGTGGTGAGCCTGGCACTGCCCCAGGGGTCCTGGCACTGCCCCAGGAACCCAGCTGGAACCACCACAGCCCCGGGATGTGGGATGTGACCCAAAGCCAGCCCCATCCCTGGAGTCCCCACCCAGTCCTGCAGAGAATTCTGCACCAGGGTGGCATTCCAAGAAACCCAAACCTCAGACCTGCTGCAAGGCTTGGAATAACCCAGGGCAAAGTTCATTGCAGGCCGGGAGTGGCTCCACACCTTTGTTCACAAAGGCACAGCCGGGATTCGGGATCAGCTGGGATTTGGGAGCAGCCCTGGGTTCCCAGTGGCACAATTCTGTAATTACCATTTAATTACAGGGGCTGCATCTGCACTGCCCTTTCCTGATAGTGAATTGTTCATGGAGAGGGAAATGAGGAGAAAGGAACCCCAGGAATATTGTGCTGTCTGATGCACAAACATCTCTTTAGAACACCTGTGGCTGAGCAGGGGAGAGAGAACTTCACTCACTTGCACTGCAGATTTGTTTATATTTAATAAACCAAAGCAAAGGAAAGATGGGGATGAAGAAACACACAAATTCTGCTATATAACCTTGATTTTTGTGAAGGGAATGAAGGTGCCATTACCTCACCCTGCACTGAGCTGAGCCAGAGGCAGCTGGGCTGGGAGATCAGAGCCCTGGCAGGGCAGAAATGTGGCTGGAAGAACCCAGCTCCAGCTCCCTGGTGGAACACCACGTGCAAGAGGGCAGAAAGGGACTTTGTGCAGCCTCTGTCGTCACTGCAAACACAAACCATGAGACTCCTCACCTCCACTTCTCATTTTATATAAAAGCCCCATCGTGCCTCGTGTTGAAATCCAGCAGAGTGCAGAGCAGCTCGATGGACCTTCCTCACCACCCACTTCAGCGTGGCTGCGCCTGGGGAGGAAATTTCAAACCACTTCTCTTAAAAGAACTGAGATTTTCAGTTGGAAGGGGAATCCTGGTCAAAACAAAAATAAAAAAAATATTTTAAATCCCCTTTGTTTAACCCTGGGGTGGGGGTGGAGTCCCCATCCCTGGAAGGGTTCAAGGAACAGCTGATGTGGCACTGAGAGCCCTTTGTCCTGATCCCAGCCCCAAGGAAAACCATCCCAGGTGGTGCCACTGCTGCCCTTGGAGGAGGCTGAGAACTGAGCTGGAATCCCCCCAGGATCCCACTGGAGCACATGGGGAATAAAACAGGCACTATCCCATTAATTAACTTTAAATTAAATAATTTAAATTAATTTTTTAAATTTAATTTTAAAATTAATTTTTAAATTAATTAATTTAAAAATCCAGGTGATGCTCAGGCGATTTGCAAGTTTCCAGTAATTATCACTAAATCCCAGCAGTGTGGATGCACAGATCCCCAGGAGAACATTGCCCTTCAGAAAGGTTTGGGCTGGGCTGGAAGGGAAAAGTGCTGAAATTTGTTCACATCAGTTCAGGTTTGGGCAGCTGAAATGGCCATACAGAGATAGGAAGGATTTTAGGTTTCCTTGAGAACAGTTTCACCATAATTATTAGAACATGAGGCACTGAAGGTTGTCATGATAGATTTAGGGAGGGAGGCAGAGAAAGGAAATAAAGAAAATCAGAAAAACGAAAAAAGAAACGGAAGGAAAAAAAAAAAGTAGCAACATTAAAATTTCAAAATCTACTTTTGGGGAATCTTATTTTTAGGGACTTAAAACAAAATTACTGACACAACCCATTCCAAGTCCTTTTTGTCTGTGGTTCCAACCTTGATCAAAAATTCTTCCCAAGTGTCTGGATCTCCTTCCCCTTACTGAGAACTTTCTGGGGTAATGAAGCATTTGGTTAAATAAAAAGGAAAGTCCACCTTCACTCACAATTCCACTGAAACGAAACTCCCTGGCTCCGAGTTTCGGCAGCGTTTTTTGGTTGCTTTACGAACCTGCTGGAGATGTAAAAACTGTGCTGAAACCACAGAGGGAAAGAGGAAGCAGAGCCCAGCATTTCCCAGGTGAGTGCAGCAGGTTCTCAGCCAGGAACAGCCCAGGGATGTGCTGCCTTGGCAGGAGGCAGTGATCCCAGCGATTCCTGGGGGCTGGAAAATCCCTCCCAGGCCCTGGAGTCCAACCTTGTCCCCAGCCTGGAGCTCTGAGTGCCACATCCCGCTGCCACTTCCAGGGATGAGGACTGTATTCCCCCCTGGGCAGTGCCTGGGCACCCTTTCCAGGAAGGAATTGCTCCTGGATAACGCTGGGATTGCTCCTGGATAACGCTGGGATTGCTGCCTGGATAATGCTGGGATTGCTCCTGGATAACGCTGGGATTGCTCCTGGATAACGCTGGGATTGCTCCTGGATAACGCTGGGATTGCTCCTGGATAACGCTGGGATTGCTCCTGGATAACGCTGGGATTGCTCCTGGATAACGCTGGGATTGCTCCTGGATAACGCTGGGATTGCTCCTGGATAACGCTGGGATTGCTCCTGGATAACGCTGGGATTGCTGCCTGGATAATGCTGGGATTGCTCCTGGATAACGCTGGGATTGCTCCTGGATAACGCTGGGATTGCTCCTGGATAACGCTGGGATTGCTCCTGGATAACGCTGGGATTGCTCCTGGATAACGCTGGGATTGCTCCTGGATAACGCTGGGATTGCTCCTGGATAACGCTGGGATTGCTCCTGGATAACGCTGGGATTGCTCCTGGATAATCCATGTTTTGCTGCGACCCCAGCCTGGATTTGTGTGCTGGGATCCCCCCTCAGCCTGGCACTGCCCCCCATTCCCAGACTTTGTTTGGAAATCCTGGCACAGTTTGGCTCTGCCTGAGCTCTCCTGGCTGCCCCTGCTTGGCAGAGCTCTGGGGGGGCTCTCCAGGCTGGCAGAGCAGCCCCTGGAAGCAGCTCTGTGCTTGCAGTGCCATGCTGGGGTGGCTGCAGAGGGCAGCTGCGTTATGTAATGCCCCAGGGTGGCTGCACAACTTCCCCCAGGACGGGCTGGGAGACCTGGCCTGACCTCAAAAGCCACAAGGCTGAAACTGGCTCCTGTCCCAGCAGAGCGAGCCCTTGTCCCTGTGCTGGGCTGTGCCCAAGGATGGGGCACCTCTGCTGCCCTGGAATCCCGGGATCCCTGAGCTGGGAAAGCCCTCCCAGCCCGTGGAGTCACAGCTGTGCCCATCCATCCCCACCCTGTCCCCAGCCCAGAGCACCGAGTGCCACCTGCAGGGATGGGCACTCCAAACCCCCCTGGGCAAGTCCTGAGCACCCTTTCCATGGAGAAACTCCTGCTGATGCCCAGCCTGAACCACATCTGCAGGGATTGCACTGGGTTTCCCTTACAGACCATGATAAAGAAACTGATTTTCTTCATTTGCTAAGGAAACCTTTTCAAATATGAGTTTCCAATGCTTTCCTTTGACATAAAACCCCAGCACGTTCCACTGGACATTGACCAGTCAATTCTTGTCACATATTTTCCATGTCAGCACAGTCCTGTACCTATGGATGGTGACTGGCACCAATTTCGGAGTCAGGATTTGGCTGCTTTGGTTTCCAGGTGCTGAAGAATTGCAGTTATCTTTCCAGTCATTTAATTAACAGAATATTTAACTCACAATGAACAAAACCTTTGTGTTCAACTCCCCTGGTTAGGATTTCCCTCCTGTTATTTATATTTGAGACCTGGGGAATGGCAGTAGGAGTTAACATGGAGATTAAATAAAAACAAGAAGGATCTTCATTCCATAAGAAGCAAAGCTAAATGTACACAACTCCAAATTCTCATCAGTGCTTAGCTGGTGGCAAAGTAAAACACCAGAATAAAGTCTGAAGATTATTTTTTTCAATAGAATCGGTAATTAGACAAAAAGTCACCAATTCTCTGCTACAAACTGCAGCTGCGTGACTTTCACCCCCCACATCCACAGCACCCCCTTCCAAAGGAAGTTATTCCTTTGGGCTTTTACACATATTTAGTAATGGACTTGTGGTTGCAGTCAGTTTTGCTGGCTGCTCTGTCAGAAGCTTGCAGCACTTTCCAAAAGCAAAGCCAAACTGAAAGCACGGAAGTCCCACCGTGTCATGTTGTCACTGTGTCACCAGGAGGCTCTGGGCACCCCCAGAGGGGGCAGAGCCACACACAGGGACAGGAAAGAGAGCAAGGAGGAGTCATGGCCACCACTGGAATAAAAGGTTTTGTTCCTGAGTGGCCACCCTGGCCAGCAGAAGCCCCAAGCTGTCCCTGACAAAACCTGCTCCGGGCTGGCCTGGCTCCCTGTGCCCATCCCCTCCTCGCCGTGCCAGCTGCCCCCAGCCTGCCAGCCCCTGCCTCCCTCTCCTCCTCATCCCTCTGATCACAGCCTGGCCCCCATTCCCGTGTGGAATGTCTGCATTTCCCAACCACACGAGTCTTTTATTCCTTTTTTTATTCCTTTTCATTCCCTCCACACTTTCTTCCCTCGAGGGCATTCAGCAGAACCTCCCCTGCTTTGAAGGAAATAAAAATAAAGTTGCATTTAACACTTGACTTGAATCATGTCCATTACCTGAAATTTATACAGTTTACACCCATTTTTAACTTTTCCTTGTATTTCATGCCAGGCCTTGGTTTACCCTGTGTTTTACCTGCAGTGTTCAGCCAGATCCTGAACTGCCAAAGCTCAGTGATTTCCAAAAAAGCCCAAGAGAAGCTGAAGTTTATCTGAACTTTGTGAACATTTTCTCTGACTTTGTGTACATTTTCTGACCTCATTAACACTTTAGAGGTCACTGCTGGCATCAGAAACTTCAGCTTTGCTGCTGACATTCAAATTGGGCAACGAATGCATTTCCCACCGTGACTCCAAGTCTCACTTCTGGTGCCAACAAAACTCACATGACCCAGTGCAAGTCTGCAAGGCCTTGAGGTGACATCACAACAAAGTCCTGCCAATAGCTTTTTTTAGGAAATGAAAAATTGTTCAAGCCCAAATTGTGGCCAACTTCAGACCAAAAGAACTGAACTGGGGGGATAAAACCCAGGAACCTGCTCTGGACAAGGGGACTGGCTTTGGACACCCCTGCAAAGGGCACACAATTCATGTCATGAATTAAACTGGTATTTTTACCCCACTGGTCTTTGCCCTGCTGCTCCAAGACAGCCCAGCCATGGTGGTTATTCTCTGGGATAACAGATTTGGGAAGAGGAAAAAACCCTGCACTCATGGTAAAAATGAAATGAGATTGTCTCTCACTGTGGCAGATGTGTTGTTTTTGAGGCAAAGGCAGAAATGGAGAGAGGAATGGGGAGCAGAGGAGAAGGGAAAGGACACTTTCCACCATCCCAGGCTGCTCCAAACCCCAATGTCCAGCCTGGCCTTGGGCACTGCCAGGGATCCAGGGGCAGCCACAGCTGCTCTGGGCACCTGTGCCAGGGCTGCCCACCCTGCCAGGGAACAATTCCTAATTCCCAATATCCCATCCAGCCCTGCCTGGCAGTTTTCAGCCATTCCCCCTCATCCTGGCACTCCAGGCTCTTTTCATGGGCTCTGACATTCACAGATACCCAAAGCATCAGTGCTGTCTAAGCTCGGTGCACCAAAACCTAATTTAGAGCAGAAAATGGCACCACTTCCCTCTTCCACTTCTGCAAGTCCCTTCATTGTTTTAATAATCTCATTCAATCATTTTTACCTTCCCTCCAAGAATTTCACATTGACAGTCTCGGCACTCTCACAGTCTCGGGGGGATTTACCAGGATATTTGATATTGCACAATTAAAATACTGAAAGATTAAGCTACCTGACTAAAGGAACACAAACACACCATTTGTTTCTGTCATGTGCTCCAGTTACAACCTCAGTCCTCTTCTTTTAGGCAAATAACTTTCAAAAGAGGAAAGAAATCCTACAAAGAATTTCCGTCATCGAGGATGACATTGTGTCTTTTACCTCTGAGTCAGAAATTCACTCCCAGCTTTAATCTGCAGGCACTGATCTGCCAGGGGAGCTTCATAGAAAGTGGAGCAGTTTCAGGGCACTCTCTGATGGATAAATCCCCATTAGAGACTCAGACCAAGGGTGAGCTCACTGGCAAGGCTAAAGCTCCCAATTCATCTCAGAATGAACAAGCTCCAGAGCAATTCCTTTAAAAAAAATGTACAATCAGTCATTTTCTTCAGTCTACTTCCTCTTTTTGTTATTTTCCCTGTATTCAGTTCAGGTTTTTGACTGAATCAGAAGCCTCTGGGCAGTTGTGCCCGTTCCCAAGGCTCTGCTGGGCATCCACCCTGCAGCTCCTCCGTGCCCAAAGGGCTTCCAGGAGCCAGAGCCTGAGCAGAGACCTGGCTTTGCTCCTTCTTAGGGCAGGCTCAGGTTGGATCAGCAGGAGTTTCTCCATGGAAGGGGTGCTCAGGCCTTGCCCAGGGGAGTTTGGAGTGCCCATCCCTGGAGGTGGCACTCAGAGCTCTTGGGCTGGGGACAAGGTGGGGACGGGCACAGCTGGGACTCCATGGGCTGGGAGGGCTTTTCCCACCTCGGGGGTTCTGTGGGTTGGTTTAACACCAAACATGTGAGCACAATATGGCTTTAACTCCATTTCTCTGAGAGAAACAAGGCCATAAACCAACAGGTGGAGCAAAACCAGCATCTCCAGCCCTTTAATCCCCCCTCAGAGCAGAGGCCTTGGGGGCTGTTGAAAGCAGAGCAAGCACTGTGAGGTTGAGGTTCCCTGGTTCTGGGGTGCCTTGGCTTGCTGAAGGCTCCTCCTGCAGCAGTTCAGCCTCACCCAGGCAGGTCCAGATAAAAACCTGCAGGCTCAGCCTCCAAATTCCCTCCCCTCTGCTGCTCCTGACCCCAAACTGTGTCCAGGCACCCAAATCTGCAGGGCCTGCTCTGAAAATGCTGCATGGGAGAGGCTTCTCCCTTCACCTCTGCCTCCTGTCCACAGCTCCTTTTATCACCCTGGCTAAAAAAACACCCCCAATTAAAGCTGGCCCTACTTTGCCAATCCCTGTTGGGGGATTTTCTCATCTCCCAGCAGTGGATCCCAAACAAACACATCCCCAGCTGCCCTCTGCTCTCCCCCTGAAGCTCCCCTGTCTCAGCCCAGTGTCCCTGGAGGTTTCCCTGCTGCTTTGTGCATCCCCTGGCAGAGCTCATCTCCCCCAGCATCCCCAAGGCACAGTCTCAGTTCTGCAATGGTTGCTCGAGAGGCTTTCAGACTCAGACAGTTTTGACAAAATCAGCATGGTTTGAGGGCAAAAAAACCCACACACACAAGTACAAGACAGACAGGGCTGAGGGATGGCATCATCTTCCTGAGGTGAACAGAAATTCCATGTTTGCTTTCAAGTATTTATGAGAAAGAAGCCCTTTTCATTGAAAAAGCTTCTTGTGGAGACTCATTTCAGATAGAGAGTGAAATAAACTCTCAGCTTCTGAACCCTCAGAGCTCAGATTTTATGCCATAAAATTTTCCAGCGTGGAGGTGGCTCTGCCAGGCCCAGCATGTCCTGAACCACAGCCTGCAGTCTCTCCTGGAGCTTGTTTTGGTGTATCCCATAGGCTTCAGACACTGACACTTTACATCCTCTCTGCCCCTAACAAACATTGAATAGAAAGTATAGTAACCAAGAATGGCTTTAAAATACCAAAATAACTTATTTAACAGGGTATTTTTTTTAAAGCTTCATTTTCTTCACATAATTGACTTGCCATGAAGTGGAGGAGTGAGGCAGGGGAGCACTGATGGGTAAATCTTTTCTCATAAATATTTTCTTGCTTTTTACTATGTTGAAATCCAGCCAGACTTACCCAGGTTGGAAGTCCAGCCTTGCCTTGGGGAACTTCTCTGGAAAAGAACCAAGGAGAAAACACTGCTAGAGAGAGGAAATTTTGGGTCTTGTCTTAGCAGAACAACATTTCTGGGTCTGTGCACAGCTGAGAGTCCCAGGAGAGCCTTGAACCAAAATCATTCCTCTTCACGCTCCCCTTTAACGCCTCCTTTTAACTCCTAAAAGGGTGGTTGGGAGCACCTGTGTCCTGTTATCCCTGGGAAGGGAACTGCAAAGAAGAGTTTTCACACACAGCAAAGCAAGACAAGCAGGTTAAAGAGAAATATTTTACTAAAAGAAAAGGGCAAAGCAGGAAAACCTTGAATTCCTCCTTTTGGCTGCTGATGCTCAAGGGTTCAGCCACTAGAGGGAAATGTAAGATAAGAGAAAAGGGAACTTAACCCTCTCCAGCTGGAGCTGTGCCTTCTTTCCACAACTTCAGAGTTTAGTGACAAAATGTATTTAGTATTTTGAACACTGGGTATTGGGAAGAAAGGAAAAGCTACAGGGAAGGAGCAATAGTCAGAGCATTTTATCTTTGAAACTTCCTTTTTAAAGTGGAGAAAGAAAAAGCACTTATATTACATTAACCCTGATAAGACTTTATATGGTTGCAGAGATGTTCTTACTGGTAAAAGCAAAGCCCTTTGGGTAACAAAATAATTTAATTTTCTAGGCAGAATTAGGACATAACCAGCTGTAGAGAATCAGTGGAGACAGCCATTCACTGCAGAGGAGAGGGAAAAGCTCTGTTTAGTGACAGGTCTTGCTCACAAGGTAAGAATTGATCAAAAGGGACAAGAAATGAAATTACCTGGGTCTGCTTGAAGGAGTACCTGAGGATGGCAATGGAGTGTGATTCCTGTTCTGGCTGGCTTTGCAATGAAATGCCACATGGGATGGCCTTTCCTATCCACACCAAATCCCACTCCAAAGGACCTTTCTCCTCACAACATGCAGCTTTTAATCTCTTTTTAAAAGTCACTCATGGCACCAGTCTGGGAACTTCCCATCACTGGTGTTCCTTTGCCTTCCTGAATTTGGCACCGCTCCCACTGCTCACACCAAGCACCCAGGAAGTGGGTGGTGCTGAGGAGCACATTTTGGGATGCCCTCAGCAGTTTTCTGCCCCGCTCCCCCCTGGATCAGTGACAGATTTGTTCCTGCACTGCCAGCACTGCATAGACAGCCCTGGGTGTGTCAGCACCTCGAACTGGAGACAGCTCAGGGAGTTGGATTTCAGGATTTGCTCAGCAGCTCCTGAGCTTGCTGTCCCCAGGGCACGTCTCAGTGCCTCAGCCCAGCCTTTCCAAGAGTCCTGCCCTCCAGCAGTGCCTTGCTGGGCACTGATTTATCCCACAGAATTCCCGGGGCAGTGCTTGAGGCAGATCCTCCATCAGCACGGAATGCAATCAAGTAATTAAGGCTTGCCCTGGAATGCACAAAGATTTCCTGTTCAGCAGGCAGGAGCAGCTGCAGGGTTTGCTTTGACACCTTTATGGATGATCCCAGAACTTCAATTCCATCAAATGCACTCAGCCATCACAGACTCCGTGGCCCGGGGGTCCTCCAGATCCTCTCCAGGAGCTCAGTTCCATCCCAGTTCTCATCCCAGCCCTGAGGAGGTTCCTGGGGCATCGCTGGTGGCTGCTCCTCCATCTGCTGCACGTCCACCAGTGACAGCGCAATGATTCATCGAGGCTGGGTGAGGAGACTGTGAAATGAGTGCTTTAAAAGCCACAAAGATGTTACTTTTACAGGAATTCAGGTTGTTATCTCCTGTACCTAACACCTGCCATGGGGAGGATGTTAAATATTCCCCCAGCTCCCCTTGTGGAGAAGTGGTTTGGGGTAATTTGGATTCTGATCTGGATCAGTCACAGGGGGATGTCAGATTTGTGCTGGTCCTGTAGCCCTTGAAGGTCACCAGGCCAGGTTCTTGTGTTTGCTGTGCTCCTGCCCCGTTCATGTGCAGGGGAGATGACAGCCAGGGACCAGGGACGTGGGGAGCAGCTCTCTGCCCCAGCAGGGACTCAGCCTCTCCCCAAGGCTGCTTCTCCAGGAGCAAATGCACTTTAAGGTTCTCTCACCCAGTGGGGAGAGGTGAAGTTTTACTGCCTGATTTTGCCATAAAGTCACATTTTCCTCCAGAGCTCCTTCAGGAGTGTGTGGGGCCAGGTAAAGACTCATTTCCATCTCTGTGCAATGCAGCCTCGCAGTGCTGCTGGCAGAAAATCCAGCTTTATAAGCCTAAAAATATCATTTACTTCCTCAAACAAGTTCAACTGGGAGATGAAATTGGGGCCTGGAGCCTAGGGGTGTTTATTTTAAAAGGGAGTTTGGAGCTTGTGGCATCTCCACAAGCCCAGGCCTCCAAGCTCTGCCAGCAGTGACATCCCAGAACTTCTGCCCCAAAGCCTCTGTGCCAGCACAGAGCTGGGAGCACGGTTTGATGTATAATCCTAAAGTTAATTAGGAATTTCTGGACGTCTGGGACGAGCTTCATTACAAGAATTAAAAACCTAAATCTTCAGCAGGAAATTGAAGCTCTGGAAATGGCCACTTGATACAAATGGTTCTGTTGGTACAAAGGGAGCAGGGAATAAATCCTGAGCGCTTTTCCCTGACTGAGTGAGAAGAAAGGGAAAGATTTGGTGCCAAGCTTGAGGTCCTCCAAGACCCTACCCAGCCCTTTCTCCCCCAGGGCTGCAGCTCCTCTCCTTAGCATTGCCCCACCAAGTTTTTCACGAGTAGTTTGTCTCATTCTCCTTTCTATTCCTCTCCAGAAAAATAGAAATAAAATATGGAAGTGTTTTCTGCTGCTCTGGATGAGACAGAGAGCATTAAAGCTGTTCTAGTGAGGAAAAAGCTGCCCAAGGACAGGTGAAACAAAGCCAGGAAGGTGACAAGTGAAGGTGCCTTTTCTCCCTTGTTCCCTGTGTTGAGTGATCAATTCCTATGCTCAGTGATCAGTTGCTGTGATCAATCCCTCTGCTCAGTGATCAGTTGCTGTGATCAATCCCTCTGCTCAGTGATCAGTTCCTGTGATCAATCCCTGTGCTCAGTGATCAGTTCCTGTGATCAGTTCCTGCAGTCACTGACCAATCCCTGACTGATCAATCCCTGTGACCAATTCCCCCTCTCAATGATCGGTCCCTGTGCTCAGTGATCAATCCCCTCTCTCACTGATCAATTCCTGTGCTCATTGATTAATCCCTGTGCTCAATCCCCTCTCTCACTGATCAATTCCTGCCTGTTACCCTCACTCCCAGGCGCTGTCCTTGCCCTGGCAGCAGAGCATCCCAGGCCCAGCAGTGCAGCCCTGGCGCAGCAGTGCAGCGCAGGTGCAGCAGCACAGCCCAGGCCCAGCAGTGCAGCCCAGGCCCAGCAGCGCAGGTGCAGCAGTGCAGCCCAGGCCCAGCAGTGCAGCCCAGGCCCAGCAGTGCAGCCCAGGTGCAGCAATGCAGCCCAGGCCCAGCAATGCAGCCCAGGCGCAGCAGTGCAGCCCTGGTGCAGCAATGCAGCCCAGGTGCAGCAGCCCAGGCCCAGCAGTGCAGCCCAGGCCCAGCAGTGCAGCCCAGGCCCAGCAGTGCAGCCCAGGTGCAGCAGCCCGGGTGCAGCAGCTCCCATGGGCCAGGAGCTCCCTGCCCTGCAAGGGGACCCAGCTCTGAGCTGGCAGTGCTGCACGGGAGGGGCTGCACAGGAGTGGTGGCATGCAGTGAGCCCCAGCGCCCGTTCCCAGCTGGATCCGCCACATCCAGCAGCTCTATCCCCACAGGGCAGAGCTGCTGAAATGTCTCTCTGCTGCTGGGCCCCTGCCAAACATCAAAAGCACTTTTCATGCAGAGCAGCTCAGTAAAACTGACAGTGTGAAGTGAGGGAGGCCACACATGAATGAGAATGGCTCAAGATCTAAAACCCACTTGGAGCTGTTGAATTCCCCCCAAGGAAGCGGGAAAAGTGGCTTCTGCTTATTCTGGTTCATTTGCTTCTGTTCTTCAGCTTTTTCCCTCAAAATCTGCATTTTGCTTTAAGGCAAAGCTGCAGAAATTGGAGGTGGTGCTGAGCAATTCCTCTGCTCCCCTTCTCCTTGGGCTCATTTCGTTTGTCTTTTGTTATCTCCTGAGCTCCTGTCAGCTCGAAGGGAGCAAAGGCATTGTCAGCTTTTCATTTCCTCGCTTGGACACTCCTCTTCCAAAACCACAGAAAGCAGCTTGGATTTAAGGGACAGAAATGGCAGAAAGGGGCAGTTATTATGTTCTGTAATATTCTCCCTCATAATCCCCTCATTCCTCACCAGCCCCTGCAGACTATTTTTCCTCGTGCTATTTGACTGAGGAAAAAAAATCTCTAAACTATTCCTAGTCACTTGAGAAAATAGCTGTCTGTGTATTTTGGGCATTGATGTAAAAGTAATGTACATTTTCCATTTCTCCATTAACCCCACCCTCATCCCAGAGCCACCCAAGGGTTGCTGCCTCTGTCCTTTCTTTCTCTGCTCTTTATGGGACATCCTGAAATTTTTATTTCTCTCAGGGCTGCTGGTTCCACTTGGAAAGCTCAATTAAAAGAGGATTTGTTCTTTTCTTGTGCCCATGGATTTTTTTTTTTTTCCTTGGAATGTCTGTCCTCTCCAAGCCCTTTTAGTCATGGTTTGGTGAGTGCAGCCTCTGCACCCAGGAAGTTTTACACACTCCTGCAGAAGGATCATGAAACTGAAACCTGCTGGGCTTTTGTGCATCAGGGAGGAGCAGAACACCAAGAAATGGCCCAGACAGAGGTTGGGGGTGATAAGTGGGGTCTTATCTGTCTGTGATTTTAACCTAGAAAATTCCTTCCCTATGGGAGGGAGAGGACATTTGGAAAGAACAAATGGAAAGCTGTGGGAAGTGCAGGAAGATCTCTGGAGTCAGGAGGAGATTGTGTTAATACCAAACTTTGAACTCTTCGTTAATACAGGTAGTGAAAAATCTCAGTTTGAGCATCTCAGCTTGAAAAGAACAGGAGCAATCTGTGC